ATAACCTATATTTGACTGTCGAACTGACTGCTGATCAACTTTTTTAACAATCCAGATACTTATAAGTCCATATCAGTACTCAACACGTGTGTATTAGCGAATATATGTTCTTAGGACCTAATTACCTAAGCTTTGAACCACACTTCTTGAGATCGAATGACATTAGCTAGTTCCCTAGGCTAAAGTAGGCGGAGGGGTATTCAAACACACGACCTACTGGTCGAAAGTTCAGCACTTCCTCCTATGAGCCAAATCTCAGCATATAATATCGTCATCATTCCCTTGGGTTCTGGGCGGATGATGGGGTTTCAGCAGCAAATCATTCATTTCGCTCTGTTTTCTATCGTCTTTCTCGGCTGGCTCCATGACTGCCCATAGGATTTCATTTCCTCCTTGTATGATCTCCTCCATGTCACCCTCAGAAGTTTAGCTCATTGATTTTTATTGAGCTTCTTACTATCATCATCCTGCAGAAGATTGGCTCCCACTGCATGACAGCTTTGGATACGGTTGGTGACATGATGAAAATCACTTCTTCAGCCTGTTTGTGGTTGCCTCTTGGGTGACTGTAGTAGATTATTGACTCTATCTCCATTCCAACCCATCTGCCCTCATAGATTCCAAGCACTCCTGTGCCGTATCTCCTCATCCACTTCGTAAACAGAACAGCCTTCCCAGCTTCAAACAATTTGTGGACATTCCATGCACCTATGCTCATTTTTACTTCCCTCGACAGAGGACACTTCGGCTGAGTGACTTCCCGAAGGCTTTCAACAGCTGGCGTCATTTAATCTCTCCGATTCCAACGAAGAATAAGTTTTTTTTATTATATTTGCTATGTGAGTTGAAGTTTTTGTAGCGACTAGCTTGATTTTTCGGAGGAGCGTCTATATCCCCATGTGCAATCTCCGACTTTCTCCAAGCTTAGGCTTGGCTAGTAGGTTAGTGAACTAGTGAATTAGGCAAGATTTCGTATGCAGTAAACACACAATTTACCATTATTTCATCAATATGAAAACGACTGATACGAACATCTTTCCTTAGTTAGAAGGACGTTATTAATGTGCAAAGATTGGGCAACTGATAAGAAGTATATCCATATTGGTAACGAATGAGACCAACTGTCCAAAATATTTACGTTAAGAGATTTTAAACTACTTTTGTTAGAAAACACAATGGCTACTTATAAGTAGCTTAAGTTGTAGATGAAAAGTGCTGGCGGCTCCATAAAAAATGCTCATTTGCTGAACATTTACTGATTAATACAGGCCAATTTGTCTCGACAAATTCTGTCTATGAAGTCAACAGCAACCTGAAAAAGACAGAAGACTTTCGCCTTCCATATACTGTCAGAGCTCTCGTCATCCACAGAATTTTTCAACTACTTCTATCATTATGGCAAGAAGCCTTTTATTCCAACCATCTCTAATTCAACTCTTTCTATTCTTTTTAAGTCGTACTTAGTACCACATTTTTTCTCTGCTCTATGTATATCTATATTACAACTCAATACTTAAGTCATTTATTTTATTACGTAATTCTAACACCCTTATTCAGATGTCCATTATGTATTGATTAATCTTAGCGATGATTTATTTCCTTTGTTACTATCCTTTTTTATGAAAAATAATTGTATAGAAGTGAGCTTGCATAGTTAAAGCGAATGACTTCCTCAAAAAGAGCTTCTCCGCTGAACTCCTTAGTTTTGTTTATCAGAAATTCTTTCTACTAGTAATGATAGTCATTTGCATGGGAAATTTTCTCATATACATTTGAAGAAATTCAATGCTGATCCGATTACTACTGCTACTATATTGAACTAAGTACTCTCCTATATATGTCCAAACCAAGTTCACTTTTCACAAATTGGGCATATGATATTCATTATAATGAAGGCTTTTGTATTTCCCAATGAATGAAAAACAAAACAATATTGCTTTTACTGACGTTTCGCTATTTAATGCTGGTAGCTTTATCAAAGTATTATTAGACCGGAATTTACATAACCTCAGCATATACAACAAAGAGTTAAGAGGTGAGAAATAGACTTAGGTCAAGTTAAAGGGACATACTGAAAGTCAAATCGCAATGAAGATCACTAAACCAAATAACAAAGGTACTAATATATCTATTATGATTTCAGAATAAAGTTTACTAACTTGATCATCGTTCGTCTGTCTGGGGTCATTTTTCGTTGTCAAGTTGGTCAATTGATAAAGATAACAAAACCAAGTGTAGATTGTTGGATTTGATCAGTGTGTAAAATTATTGAAATTCTGTCTAGAAAATAATTATTTTACATTTAAAGGGAGTTTATATAGACAGACAAATGGGGTTGCTATGGGTTCATCAGTCTCCCCAATAGTCGCTGACCATTTCATGAATAGATTCGAAAATAACATCTTTTCAAGCATACTCACTCCTAAAATATGGTTAAGATATGTAGATGACACTTTTGTAGTGCTAAAACGAGATCTACACACTTCATTTCTGGAGAAAATAAACTGTGTATCTCCCAGAATCCAGTTCAATTCGGAAGCAGAATCAGACGTCAATGAATTACCATTTCTAGACTGCCTAGTTAAGAGAAGGGAAAATGGACACTTTAGTATATCCATATTCAGGAAGAAAACCCACTGCAATAAACATTTAGACTTCAAATTATCACACCCCATCAGCGCAAAGATTTCAGTTGTTTCAAGTCTTCTTACACGACCACACTCTGATAACCGACGAGAAAGAAAAAGAAGAAGAAATATCAAACATTACTGAAACTCTTAAGCAAAACAACTACCCATGGAACTTCATCAACAAAATCAACACAGACACTAAGTATGGCCGAAAACGCATTCCGAAAACATGGACCTCAACAGTCGTCATTCCATATAGAGCAGAGACGTCAGACGATATCAGAAGAGTACTCAATCACCTGGACATTAGAGTTTTCTTCAAAACATCAGACACACTTCAAAGCAACCTTGTCCATATAAAAGACCAAATCCCTAAAGATTCTCTATCTAATTGTGTCTATAAAATACAATGCTTCGAATGTGATGCGATATACATCGGACAAACATCGCTAGAGCAAAATCAAAATCAGAAGAAATGAACACCGTAGAGCATCTGTTCGACCACTGAGAAATCCGGTTGAACTAGAAAAACTTGAAAAATCATCAGCCATAGGTCTACACGCTACAGAATCAGGCCACAAAATTGATTTTGACAATATTGAAATAATCCAGAAAACTTCAGAAATCACAAAGAACCTCTAATATCAGAAGCACTTCATATCAAGTGGAATCCAAATTGCCTGAATAGGAATGATGGACTGAAACAGAATCTGACCTGGTTACAACACCTCCCTCCCCCATGAAGTGACAAAATCAACACGAATATGATATACAAGTTCACTATGTAAACACACACTGGTTTTATAATTTTACACACTGATCAAATCCAACAATCTACACTTGGTTTTGTTATCTTTATCAATTGACCAACTTGACAACGAAAAATGACCCCAGACAGATGAACGATGATCAAGTTAGTAAACTTTTTTTGATATAAATATAAAACTTGGGTACTGTGGTACAAATCCATTATAGATAAGATTTTATTTTGATAAGTCACACAGTAATATTAACTGATGACGTTTAGAGCACAAATTATTGCTCATAATCATATCAAGCTACTCACACAACTTTTTCCTTAATTTATATACATGTGTGGAATTGATATCATAATTTTGATATCATAACAGATGTACTATTACCTTTGTTATTTGGTTTAGTGATCTTCATTGCTATTTTGACTTTCAATATGTCCCTTTAACTTGACCTAAGTCTATTTTCTCACCTCTTAACTCTTTGTTGTATATATGCTGAGGTTATGTAAATTCCGGTTTAATAATACTTTGATAAAGCTATTAGCAATTAAATAGCGAAACGTCAGTAAAAGCAATATTGTTTTGTTTTTCATTCATTGGGAAATACAAAAACCTTTATTATAAGTATTCTTCTAACACTATTCATTTTTTCGCAGTATGAAGTCATTGCATATCATTTAAGATTTCAGAGAGTAAGGAGACTTATTTGATGAGATCGTAGGTGATAATCTTGTTCAAAAAATCACTCCAGTGAAGAAACTCACAAATGTGAATAAAATTGTCTTAAAAATGTAAGCAGATAGATGCTTTAGATTTGAGGTGTTTTGACGACGTTGGTCTGTTATTTTCACGTATTTACTGACTCTGATATTTGATGAGTCTCAGAATGATTCAGCTTCACCTATTGTATGCATATTCTAAGTATTCTAGGTTAAGTCTCAGGTAAACAGGTGCTGGAAATCCAGTGCAAATCCTGAGGAAAAAATCCAGTCATTAGGTGCCACCCACAATGATGCATAGACTATAACTGAAAGTTGTTCCCGGTTAAATACAATAAAAAGTTACCAAGGTATCCGCAACTCAAAATGTAGACATTTGCTGTTACATTGTTCTCAGTTAGTAGTGCAGTTGTTTGCTCTCACTAAGCCAGGTTTTCTTTCTCATTCTGAGTGGGACCTACGGCTTCAAGCTTTGGAGTTTCAGGAGCAGTGATGCTATTTCTTACAAAGTGGGGTTATTAGCTTCAAGTTCAGCCTTCTGTAGGCTATTAAACTAAGCGAAATTTCGGTGTGCATCGTCTGGAACTCGAACCCAGCTACGAATTAACTATCAAATCCATTAAGAAGACACCATGAATCGAAGTATTATATTTATTTTTTGTATACAATCGCCTCTTATTCAATATGAGCATAAGAAAAGGCATTAGGCAAAAAATATACAAATATGAAGTAATAAATTACAAAACTAAACTAACACTTTTTTTTAATTAAATAAAACTTTAGGGAAAGGTTTGAAGGTGAGAAAATTACATTGACTAACATTAATAATAATAATAATAATTAAGGCATCTTTTTTGTGTATTATTATTCTGTACAGAAAAATAAGCGAGACACCTGAAATGATTTATGCCTATTACAATCATATTTACTTGTAGGAGTACCTAAGATGGAAGAACAATTTAAGTCCATCATCATAAAATTACAACAAAGGTATCAAGCTTGAAAAGTGTAATATTCCCAAGAATATTTAAACTGATGAGGCACATACATCTCATGCTGAATGCATAACAAAGTAGTATGAAAATGAGGTACAGTTGTGTGTTTGCTTTAGCCGTGTGCTTTGTTATACATTTACATGTGCATTGAAGGTCAGTGTGTCTATCCTCACTTTCCTGTAGTAGCCAATCAGTACTTAGAAATAATGATTCATTAAAAAAATTGACCAATCAAAAGCAACCTGAAGGTAGGATTTATTTTCTTGAATAGGCGGATTTTGTGCTTAACATAGCTCTAAGTTTGACTGGATCAGCAGTACCATTTGACACTTTCTGCTTTCTAATTATGTTCACAATCGGACTGTTACTGTGAGCAGTGTTCAAATGACTTGGATTTATGCTAGCAGGTAAAATGTCATTAGTTATAGTTGGTGTTTGTTGATAATTTGTAGCTGGTAAAGGACAATAATGTTTCATTAATTTTCCATTACCAATTGATTGATTATTATACACATAATTGGGTAGAGGTAAATGTGTATTCTGATAATTATCAACGAAATGTGATATTTTTGTTGAATCTAACTTCATTGGTTTTGATAGAGTTGCTGCACCCACTAGTTGAATATAACTGTTAGTGGATACCTAAAAAAAGATAAGAATTAGATACAAATGTGACAGAAAGTTCATTCTCAAAACATCATACTTGTGTATTGAGCAATAAAAACCAAGCGGTTGTTAGATATTCAACAGTACTATAATCTATTTTAAAACTACACCAGCTTAAAATTATACTACATATATTAAAACCACATCATAGCTGTAAAAATGAAGATATCGATTTTTTCCTTGTTAGACAGATGTCTGTTTTGCGGATTTAATTGGAGCTCTGTCGAAACGATAAAATTTTACTTCAACAACAGTTCCATTTCAAGATTGATCACGGACTGACATCAATTGGAGAACCATTCAAAACCAGCAGGGAGGACTTGTCAGCTATTTCGTTCTAGTCTGAGACTCTCCAGAAGTACACATGATCAACCCACCGGGGACTTATTCAGAACCTACAGGTTACAAGACGACCTCGTATACCATAGAGCCACTAGGATGGAGTTCAGTGGCCCATCAACTCTAACTTCTGCGAATTTGGGATACATAGCGCAAACGCCAAGCAGTGTCGTCGACGAGTATTTGTCCCCACACCCAACTTGGTGGCCCCCACTGGTCAGGACTTCCCTCTAAAACTCCACACAACCTCATCCTGTAGTCAGTCACTAGTGAGAAATAGTTTAATTTTCAAAATTGGATTGCAGGTGTTGAATCGATTTTAAGATTGACCTCAGTATTATTGAAACCTTGGGAGTGCAAGAACACTTAGTTAAGGGACTCAACAATATACACTTAAAACCCAAAGAGGAACATACAGCAAAATCATCAAGAAACCGGACAAATGCATCATTCTCTAATCATCAGATTAATAACCAGGGGGTGGCATTTTACCTAATTACCGGAATCATACTCCATCTATATTCAAAGATGAATGACTTTCGGCATATCCGACTCTTTGTACTACAGTTTTGCCATTAAGATTTCATGAAATTTTATGGGAAATTAACCATAAAGGTTGTTGTTAATAAAATCTACTGAAATATTTCAATAATACACCCCCTACCTCAAATAAACACAGGCTAGCGGCATAAGACATGCTGCTAAGTCATTCATTTATCAATCTCCGAAAGGAAATCGTTTCCTTCGATATTGATAATACGTTTTTCTAACAAGTGCTGTTAAGCACGAAATCTAGTTCGATGACCTACTGTCGACTACCTTTGACTATACTATACTGGCAAAAGGTGTGCTTCCAACTTCTAGGAATGTATATGAACACTGCCCATGGTTAACCTACTGGTGATAACAACAGTCGTAAACTGTAAGCGTAAAATATTTCACTGACGGTTTCCAATTGATCATCATGATATATAACTTATGAAAATTTTTGGCTTAAAGTTTTGAATTAAGAATTAGCCAGAAACCGTGTGGTTTGAACTGACTTGGCTGTTTGAGTTGAGTTGAACGTGGTACATCACAGATGAGCTCGGCACAAAACGAGCAGAAGAGGGCATCCACAGGTGTTTAGATCACTTCTATCTGGCTAGCGATCACTACTGGCTGATGTGAGTAGTATACAACTACGCATCTCAATCAGTCAATCAATCAATAGTATATACTTTTACGTATTGTGATTTGAATAATTTCGGTTTCCAAAGGAAACTGTGATGACATTTCACCTGTAACTGTGTAAACTGTGAATTGATTTGCAAATTGTACATTCCATTCAAGAATTAAATTTTTCTATCTTTTATATTATATTATATATATAATATATATAATTTGTTAGTTTAGACTGAGAAGTACCAAGGAAAATCTAGGACAAGAAGTGAGGCATATAAGAGAAGCTTTCAAACTTAATAATTACCCTGATAAATTAATCAGGAAGTATGCAGGAAAATGTAAAAATAAAATAAATAATGGTATTGATAGTGATAATAACAGTAATATTAATGATGACATGCATGTCAAACATGCACGGGGTAATGACAGCACCAACAATTGGGAATTTAAACCACCAGTGGTACTTCCATACGAGGAAGGAACCTCGGAAACCTTACGGAGAATTCTTAACAATACAGGAATAAAAGTGGCATTTACAACCACAAACTCAATCAGAAACAAGCTTTGTCAATTAACGGATCAATCCTGTGGAGCCAATTAGACAAAACAATTTAGTTTATGTAATACTCTGCTGAAATGATTGTCAGGTCAAATACATAGGTCAGAGTAGTGGAACACAGTCAGTCAGACTAGCGGAGCGCAAAAACTCAGCAAAATCTACATTAGTTGACCCGAATAAAATAAAAAATCTGGAGAATAGTTCAGCTATACCGCTCACTACATGCAATTACACACAACCATACAATCGGATGGGATAAGATGACAACTTTAAAATCTAATGTAACAGGGTGGAGGGAGAGACAGATAACGGAAGTTCTGTTTATTGAATCAACTGCAAATACGTGTAATAGGAGTGATTCAACACCTGTCCCAGACATCTGAGAAATTCCGCTACCACCATGATAAATAGAAGAGAGCAAAGAAAAGTATAAAACTCAAGTCTCGAAGTTGCGTGATTCTAACTGATATGATTATGAAGGATAAATTGTGTTCGAAACGTCATCCAGTAAAAAACTGTTTCACTATGTGATATATTAAATAACAAATTAATAGGTTTTTACAGAAGTAACAGTATTAGTGGAAAAATAATAATCAAAATTCATTTGTAATAAAAGATAAAAATATTCTTTTCGATAATCTCACTAGGTTCTACAGTTTTCTGTATCCCTAGAAATTAAAGTATTATTCTCACTGACAACATTAAAGTTTGAAGTATCATTTAATGAATAATATCGATAGATCGCAGTTCAATAGCACGTGTATATGACATCATGCATAAAACGATACAGGTTCAACAGCAGGCTGGGGTTGTTGCTCTAGGAACTTGATTCTCCGTTCATAGGAACATCTACTAGTACTGATAAACAAAGGTATCGATAAAACAACCAATATTCTGATATTATATCACCTGGTCCAAACGGACTGTTAGGACCAGCATAGAAGAATCTTTGCCTGTCCTCTGGTGTTTACCAGATAAATTGTCAAAGGCCTGTTGAATGTCAAATACTCCGAATAGCAGAAGCCATTGCGGTTCGTTTAACACAAACTGGCACTCTGCATACAAAAGAAACAGGTCCAGCGAATATTGCTACGCTAACCTGATGTAGTAATAATAATAATAATGACTGCTTTATTCTGAAAAATTAGTTTATAAACACTACAAAACTTTCAGCGAGTTTCATTCCAAGGTGTTTACTTCTTGTGCTTGGGCTTTAAATAATATAATAATCGATAATATATTTTCTGAAGCAATATCGCTCCACTCGAAGCTTGCTTCAGTTGTACTTCACACTATATTCCTTCTGTATTCCCTTGGAAAAAGTCCTAGCGGTAGGTAGAAACTTATTTAGAATAGTGCTCGAGCATGAACTGTGACTCATTGTGGTAATTAGATCACTAATACAATAAGAAACGGAGTAAACATGATGCATTTCGATGGATAGAAAATTTAGGTAGCTTAGTGATTTAATCAGGCCGTGCTACCTCATAAATTCTGTATTATTATTCTGAATTTATCTGATATTCACATTTTTTGACCTGCAATTTGTCGATCATACCGATAAGACGTTATTTAAGGAAAACATTTATGATGTCATGTAACAATAATCCATAAACTATTATGGATGTATATAACGGTGAAATCTGAAGAAGCAAAAGTTATCGAAAGTAATATTCTTTGTTCACTACTCATCCTAGTCTTTTGAAATGAAATGATAGGGCTTTTTTAATCAAATAAGAAAATATACACCATAAAAAAGAATCAAGACAACTCTTTCTTACCTGATGATTATCAATAAAGTCAGTAGTTGATGCACTACGAAATATCACGAGATCCTCTTTATTATTGTCATCTTCAGTTTTATTCATCTGACCTTTACGAACAGCTGAATTCACAGTGAGCACTGCATTTGAATTCCCTTCATAATTGAATCTAGGCAAACGTGATTTATGATTACTGATAGCACTTAATGAAGTGAATCGATTATGAACTGGTTGACTGGATTGTAATTGTTGTTCTGAATGACTACTGATTGATGATATTCCATTATGGATATTATTATGACTATTACTATTATTATTATTACAGTTCATATTGTATCTTCGTTTATACTTGTCTTGATTATTACTGCTGTTTTTATTGCCATTACATGGTATCACTGAGATTGATGAAGTTTTGTTCATAGTGTTAGAATTGACCGCAACTAGTTCATCATGGGGATTTTGATGAATTTGGAGTGAAACTGGAGTGTGATGATTTAAAACTGGTGAAGACACTGAAGTATGATGATTTAGTGATGACAATGGTGATGATGAGTGCGCTATTAGTTTCTGAGATAAATTTATCTAAAATTTATAAATGAAATATAAAAATTCAAGTTCATTTCATCATATGTACATACATATTACTTTGCATTCTTATTATTATTACTCCCTTGAGTTCCAAGTGGACCATAGGGCTTTAACAACACATCTCTACTTTGTTCTACTTTCTGCTGCCCTCTTCAGCTTGGATCACGGTTGCCCACAATCTCTTATCTCCTCCTCACACGATCTCCTCCATGTCACACTAGGACGACCCGCTCGTCGCATCCCATAAGAATTCCACTCGAGGGCCTAGCGCGCGATGTCATTCGACGATCTCCACAGCTTATGCCCGATCCATTTCCACTTTGTCCTACATATTTGTTGGGCGATATGTAATGAATTCTTAAGTCTTGAGTTCTGAAGTTTCAGTAGCACCGGGTTTGCTAGCCTAAGGTCAAACTTCCCCTCTCTTCCAAGCCCACCAACGGTTAGGTGAGGTTTGGGTGTGCATTGGTCGGGAATCGAACCCAGACCATCTGAGGTGTGGCTGGCATACATTCTACCACTGAATCCTGGACGCACGTTATTTGTTAAAATATCCTTGAAATGCAACACAGTGTTTCAAGGCTAATGATAATAATATTAGACTTATGTGTCCTGTCTGTCATTATTTACATCCTATTCAAGATAATTTCACCCTCATCCTCAGTCGTATTTTTCTGAGTATTTGTCATTTTGTCAACAATGAAATCAAATTAGACATCTCTGTTTACTTTAGCAGAAACTGAAAAATCAATAGAACACACTATAGTAGTCAGATACTTTTAATGATTGTCTTTCAAACAGCGATAAGATGTTTCTTTCAAATCCCCACACCATGCCTTTGCTTTTTGCAGAAATGTTAGAAAAAAGTCAACTCCAGGAGTTGTATAACTTGACCTATTCCATGAACGCAGCACAAATTCCACCCGCAAAGCAGATTTAGTAACAAACCAACATTAATTAGGGATTCCTTTAATTGAAGGAGCACTGGACAGATGTTTCATCCCAGTTTTAAGTCTTCACTAGCGCGCAACCATTTCTGTACCAGGTATCGAAACAACGACGTTCAGATTACGAGGTCAAGTTTGTTAACCTTCCACTCACTTTGACTGAAATTCAGATACCCGTGAATTCTGACGTTTTCATTTCGTGAGATAGCGCTGCTGCTATTCAGTGTCATCGATGTGCATGTGCTTCATAACCGACACAGTGAATCAAACAGGTTACAGCTTCTCACGAGAACTTCAAAATATCCATTTTGTACCCGTTGATGAGCAGAAGATTGGTATTTGAACATTACGCGAATAAGAAATGTGATTAATTTCGGTGTAGATTTTGTCACAAATTTAGAATTCACGGGTCATTTGATGGCAACCTGGTAGCTGAATGGTTGAGAAACTCGACTCGTGGCTTGAATGTCTTCGGTTCAGTCTCTGGTCCAGTCGTTTGCTTTCACTACAGAATAAATATTCAATATTTTTGCAGTTGATGTCAGTCAGTGATAAAAACTACACTGAAGCACTGTTGCATTGTAGGATAATAGTGCCTCACAGTCTTCCCTCAGAGACACTTATCATGGATGGACTTACATAGTTATGTGTAATGTTGCACATTTCATACGAAACCCGTTCACTAAATGACAGTTTCACCCTGTTTCTGACTGGAGAATTGTTTGATATATAGTCGAATCCTTAAGGTGGTATTATTTTGTTCTCGGTTTCACATACATCTCAACAAAGCCTACAGTTAAGCCGTGAACTTATGCTCATAAATGCTTCCAAAGCACTTTCTCGAAATGTTTAAATTTAACCATGGTGCGGTTTTTTAGGTGAAATTTCAGTAATGATACATACTAATAGAATTCAGTCAGGACTAACACTAGGAACTAGGCATATAACATCTCACTTACACCTTAGCGATCAATCGATGTACCCACATGAGGTCAGCCATGACGTCGAACAGTTTAAATATCTTTGGACCCAGCACTAGGTGATGCCAGTTAAAATCTCTAAGAGTGCATCACCTCCTTCAATGTTGTAGATGCTGACAAGAAGGAAAAATAGGTCTAAATCTCCTTGCTGATAGTCTCCAACCATCTACTAGTAATTACACAACTGCCAAACTCTCCATTACGTAAACGAAAAGACAGAAATATGCAAAGCAGTCAACTCCATCTGCAATTTTACTTACATCAGAGTTATTCCATTGATGAGTAACATTTCCATTTTGTAAATTACTAGCTGAACTAATCTCATGATGATGATGATGATGATTATCCTCAGTGAATTTGTGTCCATTTTGATTTGATGAATGTCTAGATTGCTGTGTATGTGGGTTTTTTTCTCCTGATTGTTGCTTTTGATGGTGATGTCCATTTTTAAGTAGCTTAGAGTTTAAATTACTTAGTGAATTTGAGATTTTCGACTGACACATTGAATTTTGAATATCAGTTGAACCTTGGATTAATTTTAACTTTTGATTTGTGCCCACTGTTGATAAAATTGGCTCATAATCTGACTGATAATTATATTTCTGTTCGACGGTGGAAAATGTGTAAAAAATATATAAAGAAAATTAAATAATTAACACTGATTAAGGCCTAACAATTACTTTACAACATTATCCAGTCTAAAATGAAATACATTATGTGCAAATTACAGAGTTTGATGGGAGAAATCGCCACAGATGAACAGATCTAAAATATTTACATAACAATAAGTAATCAGTTCAATGCTGTAAGTAGGAAAAATAGCGTGGTACTTCATACTTCTGACTACCTTGACTAGTTGGAGACTACTCGCGTCAAACAGTAACGTAGTAGCAGTTCCGCTAAGGGATTTGAACTAATTCAGCCCACTGAGCTGGATATATTACTGATGAGCTCAGCCCAGAATGATCGAAAAGGCATTCACGTGTTTAGATCACTTCAATCTGGCTGACTGGTAAACCCTAATGTTTGATGTAAGCTGTTTTCAACCACTCACATCAATCAATAGAATATACCACCGTAGTTTCCTACATCTTAATAGACTTCATAGACAAACGCCAAAGTGACTCTCCTGAAACATCATTTTATTTGTAATCAAATTCATTTCATCATAATAATACGAATCTGAACTACTTCAGATATATATACAAAAATATATACTTTTTTCGTGGGCAGCCAGTGGTAATCAGTACATGCTGATGATCATGGAACAGGCTACATGACGGATAGACGCTGCCGCGATCCCAAATAAACGATCACTAACTGCGACTGACACAATTATTAAACATATCTTTGAAGACCACGGTGCGCCAAGGGTGACAGTGACAGATTAGAGTCCTGTTTTGAAAGCGAAGAATTTACATCTCTCTCGCAAAAGCTAGGTATAATTAGGATTATAACAACACCATATTATCCACAAACTAATTGTTTGCTGGAGAGAAATAACCTTAAACTAAAAAAAGACTGGCTTCCAAGGGAAACAGAGCTTCCATTGACTCTACTAGCATATCGTGCTTCCACCCAGGAAACAACAAGAAAGTCACCGTTTCCGTCAATTCGCAGTTGAGAACCATGTCTACCAATACACAGTCAGATCTTGCCACATCACTAACGGTGGAATATAAAGAGATAGGGAATGGAATGGAAAGAAACAACCAGAAACGTGAAGCATAAACAAACAGAGAGAAAAGAAGAAATGCATAATGTGTAGAGTCAAAGACCTAGTAAAGTAGAGAGAGAGAGAAAGCCCACTGTTGGAGGCGTCCAGCATCATGGAAACTCCTCTCAAAGTCAGGAGGACCATACACTGTCACCAACATACATGGTCCTATTTATACTAAAGAGGAGGAGACAAATAGAAACGTGTTAAGTAAGTAGAACATTGTGATATGTCTTCTACAAGAATATTGAAAAGCTTATAGATGCATTAAAGGGCACGGAGAAGAAATGAAAAATCCTTCTGGAACAACAACAAAAACATGAAAGGACAATAAAAGAAGCACAATATGAAAAAATGCGCAAATGGACATTTTAGTTTAAGCCTGGGACTCCTCATCAGTACGCACCCGCCTGGGTTCGAACCCAGGACCTTCCGGTTACAAAGCGAGGTCGTAGACCTTTAAACCACTGGGACGTGATTCCGTGGCCAGCCCACGAATTCCAACTTCTGATAATTCAAGATATAACACGACCACTAGCCGGTGTCATCGGAGGGTATCTGTCCTCATTCCCGACCAGTGGGGTACAGTAGGTCATATCATAATTTATTAGGAGTTTCTTTCATCCTCAATAATTTTATCAGTTTTTTATTCCCATTGATTAGAAACACATCGATTTAAGTGTTTTCCTTACACCAGTCAATACTACTTATTTTTACTGATATAAGTAGCTTAAAAAACGGGTCAAAGTTAAGCGAACACTTACTCCATTCAATTTACAACTGTCAATTTTTCGATGAATTGATGAAGCAGTTTTATAGCGGATTGTCTCATCGATTCTCAGTGCATTGGAATAATTCACCACTGATTCTTTTTGACTATTGTTACTGTTGCTGTCTTTCTTGGTGGTCGTGTTATTCCTGCTGATGTATTTCTCTTCCAGTCTTGTATGACCGACAGATTGACAATTAGCTGAAAATGAAGCGAAATGGGGGAACATTCTAGTTATACATTTGTTTTCGGCAAATACTAACAAACGAAGTGAATCTCATAATTTGGAAATTGCCTCAACTCTGCGAAGTGCCACAAAACTTTATTAACATCATTCAACAGCTATATGATGACGCCACATGACAAGTAATTCACAACAGAAAGCTCAGTAGAGCCTTTGAAGTGAACAGAGGCATAAGGCGAATTTGCCTGCCATTAAGAACAATATTTCTGATTGTAGTGCAGGGGATAGTACAACAGACCATGAAGAGATAGAAGATGGACAACTGTTTGACAAACAAAAAGACTCCAAGAGATCTTGATTTCGTGGAAGATCTATAGAAAAAAATCAAAAAGTTGGCAGAAGAAGTGACAGTGAAAACAGAACTTCAAATACACATGGATAAGACACAGGTGATTATGACCCCTAATCAACAAAAATAAGCACCAGTCACCATCAACGGGGGAAATCGAAGGGAAGTCATCGTTATAAATACAGACAGACAGCACAGGTCAGTTTGTCAAAGGTAGAATCAGAAAGGTGAAACAGGTGTTTACTACTTTGAATTCAATGCGAAAATCTACTACACTCTGGATCTTCAACATTAAGGTATGCCCAGCTCTTCTAAATGGTTCAGATACTTGATGTGTACATAACGTATAGCATTTCTAACAGATTTCTGCAGATTCTCATCAACAGTTGCCTTCTCTGTATCTATAATGAATATGAAATAAGAATGTGTAGTAGTGAACTCTGGTACACAAGCAACCAGACAAGAACCTGTCGCCCAACAAATATACAGAAGGAAATGGAGATGAATTGGAAATGTGCTAATGAGGCTGTTGAGTGATATCACACGCCAGCCATAACTTAAATTGGGACTCTATTGGGAAACGACGAATTGAGCGTCCGAGGATGATGTGAATGCGCTTATATGACGAGAAGCTTTGAGGAATCTTGGAGCCACCTGTAAATGACTGTAGAGAAAAGAGTGAAATGGAGATGTGCTGCTGAAGCCCTATATTCCACTGAGAACCCTAGATAAGAATAATAATGTACGGATATACGATGTATTAATAATAGATCATTATGACATTATTCCAAGATACACTGATGGTGCTTGTTGGGATAGGGTATGATGAAACTTAAGGTGAATTAGATTCTCATTTAGTAGCAAATAAACCAATGAGAACATGATCACTTACAAATGTGTGAAGGGCAGAAAATGGATCGATTAAGTCCTACTACATACACTTTACTGTTCGACTGAATTGTTGGAATCCGAAGACTTATATTTTCTAATTCAAGCTAAGAATTGAGATCCTGGGTGAGGGGAAGCTGAAAAACATAAGCTACTGGTCTGAGGCAGAAGTAGTGAGGTTTTCTCCTTGTAAGCTTACAGTTATGAATTATATCCCTTGCTCGCACTATGGAGATAATTGAAAACAGAATTAAACCAACTATTCAGTACTCTCTGGCTTACAACAGTTCTGTGAAGATCCTTCCTGTAGTATCCGCTGGCTGCAAATTTCACACTCACATGTTCAAGCAATTTGAAAATCCACACTGACTCATATAAAAGAAAAGGCGTACAGCGATGAGTTACCCTTTTAGGCGAAACTAACATGAAATTAAATGAGTAAGCTAAGTGATGCAATATAATTAACGTATTTGGTGTTAAGAAAGATCAGATCCATTGTACACCGAATACGTAATTCTTATTTTTATTTATTGTTTCTTAATTGTATTATTTTCTTCCCTCACCCTCTATTAAATCTCTACCCCTCATTACCACTGAGGTTAACTTGACTGTCATTCAAATTTTATTTGCATTCTACTCAATCCCGTCGATTATATTACGTCACTCAACTTATTTATTTAATTTATTCCATTTCCTATCCGATTAACACTTTCTACATTACTTAATTTGCTGTCTAGAAATAATTTACAATTCTAATGACACATCTTTGGAAATATTCCTTTAGTTTGTACAGCTTGAGAATGATATCGCCGAAAAGAGTAACTCTTAGCTGAACGCCTTTCCTTTTATATGACGCATATTTTCTTCTTTCTTTAATTTGATTTTGATTTCATACTTATAAACGGCTACATCCCTTGTCTATTAATCGTTAATCAGAACCCAGACTACTCAAAAGTATTTAAGTAGTTCACTATTATTGACAGATATTTTTACTAAAAATAATAGATGAGTGTGTTCAACACTTACACTTTGATATAGTAATATCATTTTTCTCATAAGGCATACTATACACACAGGGAGTTATTTTTTGTGTTATTTCTAAAGTTGATAAAGAGGAAAATTTTGGAGTAAGATCTTTGGCTCCATTGGATGTTTTAGTGTTCATTATATGATGACTAGTATTATTAACATCATTTTGAATATTAGATGTCGAACAATACTTTTGATTATGTAATATATTAGGATTAATGTTACAAAGATAATTTGTATCCTCTTCATATGTATCATTAGATGAGGTTAAATAATCATAACCTCTAAGAAGAAGTGAATTTTCCGCTTGTGATAATAAACGATGATCTTCATTTCCTGGACGATCCTCTTTGTCGTTCTCTGCTTTCGGAGTTACCTGATAAACAAAATAATAATAAGACGAGGTGTGAGATGACAAGTACTGTAAACTGGTCTTGGCAAAATAAGTTGGAATACTACCTTAGGTAACTGACTTCCAACGGGGTTGGTATACTGAAGAAATCCCCAATTATACATTTGGAAGACAAAACAATTATGCGAAGAAATAATTACTTTTCGATTAGATTCTTTGATTCTATGGTTCATACTCTAATATACATAGCCTTTTTGATACAATTCGGAAAATACAACAGTCTCGCAGCAGTGGTAAGTTTGTTAGTAATAACTAGTCAGTATCAAGATTTCAGGGGGTACAACAATTAACCATGGAAGTTAGTGAAACAATTAAACAGTAGAAATATTTGCAAAAATTGAACAACTGGATTACATAATAAATTGGTGGGTGGTGACTAGCAGTGGGATCCAGGATGCCCATTCCGTCTTATTTGGGATTCATCAGCTAGATGCACCTGCAGCCCCGAGTGGTTGACTGTGTTCCCACTGAGGCTGAAACCCAGTACCCATAGTTTCAAATGCCAAAGTGTTATCCACTAGACCACTTGGGCCAGTTGACGGAATGCGTACCCTGGATTCGACTGCTGGTCCCTATCCATCAATTAACTTCAAGTACAATAATCAGATGTCATTGAAGCATCTGCACTAGGAGCCGACATGTCATACTGAGGCCGAACACTTTGGTCCAATCCTTCAACAGGAAGATTCAAAGTGAATTAAATAATTATTGAGTTACTCATAACACAAGAGGTGGCTCTCATAGCCCAAGGGGTCTAGTGGATAAAACTGGCATTTGAAACTATGGGTACTGGGTTTCAGCCTCAGTGGAAACACAGTCATCCACTCAGGGTTGCAGGTGCATCTAGCTGATGAGTCCCAAATAAGACGGAATGGGCATCCTGGATCCCACTGCTAGTCACCACCCACCAATTTATTATGTAATCCAGTTGTTCAATTTTTGCAAATATTTCTACTGTTTAATTGTTTCATTAATTTCCGTGGTTAATTGTTGCACCCCCTGAAATCTTGATACTGACTAGTTATTAATAACAAACTTATCCCTACAGCTAGATCCACTTATATCTTGTTGCGAAATGCACTCAGGCATATTTTTAATTAGCTTTCAACCTGCTGCTGCGCATTTTCTCAAGGAGATGAAGAAAAAGAGGTTGGATTTTACTTTACACTAAGCAGCAATATGTTATCCGATACAATTTCGATTACTATCTAACATCGAGATCATAAATATTATGCAGAAAAATACCATGAGAACTCCGTGTATTGTGGATACATTTTGTCTAAATTAAATCTGATATTGTCATAGTATTAGAGGTTTCACTTACCCTAACCATCATTTTTTCCTGCACAAAATGTACATTCATCTGCTGAGTTGAATTATCTCGGATTATAACATTGAGTGCATTAACACAGGCTAATTATTCAATCAATAAATATCCTGTTTACAGGATTTCATCATGAGCTGACATCGGTTACAGAACCACTGAAAAACCTGGGAGTACTGGACAGCTGTTTCATCTTAGTTTGGGACTCTTTATCAGTACGAAGCCACCGAAGTTTGAACCCAGGACCTTCTGGTTACAAGGTGAGCTCGTAGACCATTATGCCACTGGGACCCTATCCAGTGGCCCATGAATTCCAGCTTCTCCCAATTCACGACAAACCAATACTTGAATATCAACGAGATGCTCACTAGCGACTGGCCTTATTCACGTAGGTGTTTACTCGGCGTTCTAGTGAGAAGTCATGACCAGTAGGGTACAGCAGGTGGGGCGTGAGGACAAATACTCGTCGAAGACATTGGCTAGTGGTCGCACTATGTCGTGAATCGGCAGAAGTTGGAATTCATGGGCCACTGGATAGGGTCCCAGTGGCATAATGGTCTACAAGCTCACCTTGTAACCAGAAGGTCCTGCGTTCAAACTTCGGCGGCTTCGTACTGATAAAGAGTCCCAAACTAAGATGAAACAGCTATCTAGTACTCCCAGGTTTTTCAGTGGTTCTGTAACTGATGTCAGCTCATGATGAAATCCTGTAACCAATCAATCAAATCCATAAAGACCGATACTTAAATATCCCGTTTATCAAGCATAAAGACTGAGATGTACCCCGATAACTAATCAACTGCTTAAATTCCTGGAATACCTAAATTTCTATCCAACACAATCTGCATCATATTTTCTCTAATTTCAGCGGTCTTAACTATTCATTTATATTGTTCAACCACAAAATATAATCACGCACATTTTTAATTAGCTTTCGAACTACCAGTGCTCATTCCTTGGAGACGAAGGAAAAATATTCAGGTATTAATCTATGCTTCAGATGAAACAGAATTGCGGCACATGATATACTATAGATTGTTACTTTACTTGGAGATGTTTGATGGACAGAAAGTGTTATACATTGAATTACGCTGCGAATTCTATACATTGTGCCGACATCTTACTCGGAATAAAGCTGTTATTGTCATTAACGTTTGAAACCTCATTAAAAGGGCATTATAACAGTATAACTTCTTCTTGAATCTTATTTGTTTATTCAATATCGATCTATATGAAAATGATTCTGATTTCAAAGTACAGCTAGTTTTCAACTGATATGCTGGACAGTTAGAACAGATTTTTTTGTTCAAGTCACAAAAGTGATTCCTTTTAAAATGAACGCCACATACCACTATTTATTCTTAAAGTATACGCTTAAACGCATTGATCAAGAATGAAGATTAAAGCGAGTTTAGACTGTGGTAGATCTTTCTGTTCCGCAAAAATGTCTTTTTTTCAAAACGATCTGTTCTTAAGATGGGTTTCATTATGAACTGACAGCAGTTAGCGAGCCAGTTTAAACCAAGGAAAACTCGATAACTGTTTCTTCACAGTTTGAGAATCTTCAGCAGTGCTCAACTACAAGCCAACAAGGGGTTGCACTCAGGAGTTACAAATTAAAATAAATAAGCCCATTAAGTATAGCTGGTCCATAACTCTGTTACATAAGAAATCTGCTCCGGGAATAAGTAAAAGATAAGTGTGGAGACCTGTAATGTTTGCACCATGTCTAAAGCTGCCAAAGGCCGCTCAATGAGTACCGAAATCAGGTTAACAAGAATTTAATACTAAATTGTCAAAACAGCAACAAACAAATTTAGAGACACACACACACCATTCCATCTTCAAATTGAATATTTTGATGACTGTAAGAATTTGAACACCTGTCTGCTGTTGTTGCAGCTGTAAAATAATAATAATTTGATGTTGTAATACGCGAGTTTGATGGAGGAATATAACTTGCAGAGTTAACAGTATTAGTGTTATTTTGATGTGATTGACTGTTGACACTTGTATTGCTACTGTTACTAGTGTTGTATTGATCACTGTAATTTGATAGCTTTTCACCTGAAAGTGTTGATGAATTCTGTACATTGACTTTTGTTATGTACTGACTGCAATAATGTGATGGACTAACCGCTGAATATCTGGATTGAAGGAGAAAAAAACAATAGAAAATACCGTGAAGATTAATCTTAAATATCTCATTAATTTTTTTTATATCTACGGTAAGAATGTTAAGTAGGTGGACAGACCATGGATCAATAAACAGACAGACCAAAGTTCTACTGAATAGCAACCTTTCTAAGGTTCTGTCTGTTAGACTGTTAGAACGACATAAGTCCATAAGAACTCCCCATGTACCGGACTTTGAGCCATCTATTTATTGTGTGACAGCTGACGACACTAATCACTTTCCCTGGCAGAAATAGGTGGAGTGGGACTCAAACATGAGCCTACTTGACTGAAACTCAAGTGTTCACAGGAATCAGGCAAATCTCTACTCCTCAGATCCGTTATTTTTTTCTAAGAAAATAATACATGTAGTCTTATTTGTTGAGGATTCACCTTTTTTGCTTCTACCTGAGATATGCTTCACATAAGTGAACTGCTGAGGTGGCGAATGCAGTGATGAATAGAGATGTCCACCAAACAACATCAGAGACTGACAAAACGCTATACCTCTAATGTTAGTCAATAAATGCTTCTATTCTTATCTTAACATTAGCATTATTTACACAATGAGCCAAACACAAAGACTCATACACACAAGAAGTTTTGTAAAAGAAATTTAGATTGCTTGATTGGAGAACGCACCAACTGTGAATATCTGTCACTAATAACATTCTACAATGCTCAACTGATCACTCTCAACCAGTTAATTGATGGATAACACATAATGGAATGAACTGGAAAGTATGCTAACAGAGAAGAGCCACAGCATATATATACGAAAACAGAATAGCAGTAAAATATTACGTAATACTGGTCTGAAATTGTTTAAAAATAATAACTATTTGCTAACTATTGGCTTCCTGCTATCTCCGATGATCTTCCTGATTGTAGTAGACTGTATCATACAACAGACCGTAAAGAGAGCGAAAACAGGCATACTCTGAGCGGCCAAGAAAACTCAAGAGGATTTAAACTTTAAAGATGGTTTATTTCTTGTGTCACACAAACTCGAAGATCTATAGATGAAAGCCGAAACTTTAAAGGAAGTGGCAGGCAGCGAACATAGGATTTCAAGTGAACATATGGAGAAGACACAGACGGTGAAGCTTACTTGAATAGATGAATTTCCTCAGACGTGATTAAAGGAATGCTGTAATCATACCAGATGTTTCTTTGGACTGCTTTAAACGTGGTTTATCAACTTCTTTTTTACACAGCTAGAATGAGTCTATTGTGGCGTGTTTGCTACACTATGCGCGAAAAACCTCGTTAACGGTTTTATTCTAACCCACACTAAGGTATCGATTGAGAGATTATTGTCATACAATTGTATTGCTGGTAGTCGACCCTGTCAATCAAATCTCTTTTCTAGGCCGCTTAGTTATTATTGTTCTAATCAAATCAAAGTTCATTTGATTTTTAACAAAAAGATAATGATGAAACACGACAACTGATTATTTATTATTATTTATTTATGAGATGAAATACAGTGTCAAAATTGGTTTGTATTCTTTGTTTTATTTTACAAATAATGCATAGTAATTTAAAGATGTTTTGTTTGTGCTTTTCCCTACTAGCTATCGTCAACCAAATGACTAGTTATCGGTTGAAGATATCCATTATTTCACTTTGAATATCAAGATTAATTGAGAACAAAGAATATCTGTGCTGACTGGTACTCATCAGCAATGTTTATCTGCAGTCTTGAAGAAATCCATGTCCCCTATATGGTTCAAACCAACATCACCTAGTGCTGCAGTCAAAGACATTACCATTGATCTACTTGGGTTGACGACTGACCTCCTGTAGGACTGTAATGGATACTTCGGTTAATCACTAGCTAGTAACTAATGTCATATATGCAACTAGTCCTTGGTTTTAGTACAGACAGAATTCTATCAGCAAATTTTTCACTGTGGTTACCAGGTTACGTCGCCGCCCCCCCCCCCGCACATCACAGTGCATTCTGAATTGATGTTAGACATTTAGAAGCAATCGGTGGATAGGCCTTGTCGACGAGTGCTAACATGCACGAAACCTAGGTTCGTGGACTCCCCCCTAAATCTAGTGGAAATTTGAAGTTCTCATCTTAAGACTTTACTATCCATGTGCGTCGGTGGCACAGTGGTTAGGACTCTCGCCGACCATGCACATGGTCCGGGGTTCGATCCCCTGCCGAAGCACACCCGATATCTATGGTCGGCCTGAACTTGGGCTACCGACATCCATGCTGAAAATTCCATACTTGTACTGAAAATACGGTGTGGAATCAAGCTGTAAATCAAAATAAAAAAATAAAATAAAAATAAATACATTGTCAAAGAGTGACAAACACACATTAAGCAATGCATTTGATCAGTGTACGACACGACTGCTTCATGTATTCCACTGAGACAATATACATATTCGCCAATCAAACACACACATGTAGACGGATGAAAAAACTATCGTCGTGGCTTTTACAAGGAAGCAGCATTATAATTGGCTATACTGTATAGTAGAAATAAAGAGTGAAAAATTAAGCATAAATAGGATTTTCAAGTATTGGTTTGGTAGGGATTTTGTTTAATTATAATTGCAGGATTTGTAGTTAGGCATATTTGACATGCTGGCAATCGGTGTCATCCACGCAACCTGTGTTCTGTTGAACTTGAAGGATCTGTACAGCAAATAATGGTCTGAGCCTAAATCTGTCCATCTTCTCGAGTGTGTGTCCTGTAGGCTACGTCCCTACTTTCTTGAGATTGAGATGAAGTCCACCTGATTTTCGGTGTGTCCGTCAGGTACCAAATCACCGAAGGTACAAAAATCCGCAGTGATCTCTGGTCTTGCTGAATTTCGACGAGAGTCCAATTACTCCGGAATGGTTCTTTTCTTGTACTGTTTGCTCCCAGTTACCCCAGCATTCATTTTACCCATCAGAATTATGATGTCAACATTTGAGTCTAGTCTATTACCGTTTCCCAATTCTTAACACCAATCTCAAGTCAATCAGTGCTCCTGCATTGTCCACAGACTTGGTGCTCTACGAAAAGCATTTGCAGACATTCATCAACAGTTCCCTTCTTCACTGGCTCGATCCTTAGGATCAGATGGGTGGTCAGAAAAGATAAGCAACAAAAGATTCTGGCAAATAACCAACATCACCGACATTCTTCAGCCAATGATTCTTAGAATCCTGAGAACCGTAGCGCTGAGTGGCCCGAAACAAAATTCCAAGAATTTATTGATTGGTGCTACGTTTCTTATATGACCATCTGTAACTTTTTCCCTACCTATTCCTATGCCAATCTGTACTGCTTATCGTAGAAGGCATGAGTAGCCCATATCCTAACCATCTCAAATAATGAAAGTTCTAAATCTCATCACTTGATATTCCTTCTTCATTTACAAACACATGCCCAAATTCATATAATACGAGGTGAATACAATCATGAGAAGCTCTTTAAGAACAACAAAGACTTCACAATTAAACCATCTAACTCAGAGATTTCGCAGCATTACTTCAAAAGAATAATTTTTCATAAAAGTATATTTATCAAGAATAAAATAATAATAGTAATAAACACTAATTACAACTGACCGTTTTGAAGTCTTGTGTTCCATAGGTAGTTTATTCACTGAATTCGATCGACTGATGGAATTGTGGGAAATAAGTGGGGAATTCGTATAAGTCATTCTACTGTTTAATGCTGATCGTGACTGTTGATCAGCTAGATGTTGGAGTTGAGGATATTGCTGTTGTGAGTATTGTTGAAGGGGCGTTGTAGAATTAAGTGCAGAACGACTAATGTTATTACACTTATCATATTCAGTCATACACTCGGAGGTGTTATCATACTTACAGTCTTTGTGATAATGCAGTGCCTGGGGACTTGCTTTCGTTATAGGGGTATCTGAATGATTATTACCACCATTACAAGTAGTTCTAATAGCCGCAGTAGTCGTAGAAGTAGTTCTGGTTGTGGTAGTCGTCGACGTAGGACTACTGTGATTCATACCTAATGACATTTTTGTTTTTGAAGATGAGAGTTTATCAGGACTATTTTTTAGTCTATTTTCGTGTTTCCGTTGTTTTAAGTTAACTTTTACACATGCTTCTTCATTTTCATATGGTGTGGAATGACCATTTGTGTCTTTGAGCTGTTGTTGTGTTAGTTTTACTGGTTGTAGCGAAGGTGAAGTTGGGGAAAATGATGTTGGTTGTTGCTTTTTGGTAACTGCATTTTGTGGATATAACGTAACATTGAACCGTTTTACTGTTGTCTGACACTTCAACGTAGGCATTGATGATGGGATTGATGCGACATCTTGTTTTGTCTTGATAAGTTCACTTTTTTGTATTTCATTTTGTTGTACTGTTATTGTTTCTGGCCGTTTTGAACTAATCATCTAGAAAGGAAAGAGATGAAACAATTGTTATTTTTAAGTATTGAAAGACATCAAATTCCATCCAAGCAGTTAGGCGGCAAAATACTCGCTTAGTAATGTGACAGTCTTACAGTTCAACTTCTCTTGGCACAGTGAGTGGAACAATCCTAAACTTGGATTGAACAGCTCTCTAGTAATCTTTGGTATTCATTGGTCCGATCAAATGCTTTCGTTCGTGAAGAAACCTGTCACTAAATCATTTTATCTACTAAACTGCATAAGATAGTCTGATGCATTGTTATTATTATCAACATTGCCTAAGGTTCCAAGTGGAACATATGGCTTTAACAGCACATCTCCGTCTCGTTCTGCTCTCTGAAATCAATTTTAACTGGCTCTACGATTGTCCATAAGCTCTCATCTCCTCCTCACACGATCATCTTCATGTCAAACTCGGCCGCGCCTAAATGGTCGTTTCTCATTCGGGTTCCACTAGAGGGCTCAACAATCGCTTCATCTCCATTTTCTTCCGTATATTTGTTGAGCTATGGGCTTTTTGGTTGGCTCGTTGCCAGGGTTCTTTGTCGGTAATCTTTTCTGACCTTTTGTTCTTTGTTATGGAACGAAGGCAGCTGTCAATAAAATTCCGCAGCCTGTTCGAAATGTTTTTTGGTGATGTGTGCATCAAGTCTCTGAACCATCTAGAAGCGCTGACTTAGCATCAGTGTTGAAGATCTAGATACTGTTCTTTGTATTGAGTGCAGTGAATTCCCACATTCATTTAGGATTGATGAAGATCTGTCTAGTGTTTCTGTTCCTGGCTTTGGCATCTTTATCAGTGCCTCCTGAAGTTGAAAGGATGCTTCCTATGCAAGTGAAAGAAGTGAATTCCTCCAACATACTCCCACTGAAAGTGATTGGCGCTTATTGCTGTCAGTTAGGTACCTTCATCATCTCCTCCTTCTATTTGTTCAAAGTTCACTCTTATTCTACTTAATGTGGTTATGAGAAATAAATTTCGCTTGGAAGGTCACCATTTTACTGCTTGTTATACGAAATAAACTAACTAACATAGGATTTAGTTAAAGCGCAGTGACCCACAAATAGCCTTGAAGCAGCCAACCACAGTTTGCTTAGGTAAGAATGAAGTTGTAACGAATAAATCAAGGTTATTATTAGTAATGAGTGATGTTCTGATATGTGCCACAAACTAAACCTTAACCAATGATCCCTGACATCAACATTAATGTTGCCTAACACTAGTACCAAAACCCATCTCTGCCCCTAAACAGTAGTTATTTTGGATTAATACCCACTCTCCTATGAGCAGTTAGAAGTTACTCTTGCTTAACTTTGTTAAAACTTTTCAAATTACACAGTTTTTCACCCAAACTAGTGCGGCTCCTTAAACATTAGTCGTGTATTCGTCTAATTAAATCACTATCCGTTAACTTCACCTTAACGTGCGACTGGTAATAGAACTATCCGAAATGGACTTCAGCTGGCAGACTACTACTGGTGTAATGGATGATGAGTAAAGCAGGATTCGAACTAGTGGACACAGAATTACCAGTTTAGTAGTCCACCAACTAACTTACAAGGCTCAACTATTAACCAAGTCATCATTTCACTTCAGTTACATAGGATTATATTTAGCCACACTAGTAAGGAACTGCCCTCTATAAGACAACTTTGGTTAAGTGGTCTAATATCAATAAAGTACATTCGGTGAAATAAAACTTATTGGTAATCTGTAATATCCTTTTGTTCATTTGTTCACTCTAAGCGATGGTCACATCACAAAGCAGTTTGTTCAATTCCTCATCGTTGCGGATTGCCAATTGCAAGTGATGAGGGATAATGCGGGTCTACTTGTTGCCACGGGCGACATTGCCAACCAATTCAAGCACTTGAGCGGCCAAGTACTCGAGGACGTTTGACAAGTAGACGGAGGCTCCAGCACCGACGCGTTAAGCGCAGTTACCCTTGCGCAACAGACAATGCAAACTACCAACTGGGAACTGAAAACTAGCACGAGCAGATCAAGTTTTAGCCTTAGCCACCTTTGCTACGACCACTCATTGTTGCACGTTAGAGCAGAGAAACATGTACCATCATTATAACTTAAAATATTGCTTCCGAATTTGATCACGACCTGATATACAACCATTGAAAATCAAAGTGTACTCGACATATGTTTCATCCCAGTTTGGGACTTTTCATCAGTGCTCATCCATCTTCCTACCCACATGGAATCGAAATCCAGAACATTTAGATTAAGATGCCAAAACACAGACCACTCAATCTCTGAGACGAAATCCAATGGCCCATGAATTCTGACTTCTGACAATTTGCGGTATATTGAGCAACCTCCAGTCATTGTCATCCGCAAAGATTTTTCATTACAACCAACTAGATGGATTCCATGGGTTATGACTTCTCAGAGGAAATTCAGGTGGCTTCCTTCACCCTATAGTCAGTCACGGGTGAGTATTGGAATAAGACTTTAAAATTAAAGAGTTCAATTTGTAGATTTCAGGATTAATCACCTCGATGGCATCTTTCTTTTAATGAAACTAACTATTCAAGTGGATCTTCTTTTCATAATCAATTCTCTAAACAAAAGCTAGTGATAAGGATTGAAAGACATTCTCACTCACATACTGTATACGGATGTGTGTAAGTATGTGGATTAAATATATGGTTGAAGTACACTGAATAGTGTTGTTTTGGATGATATTGATAACTATGAAACCCTCTGGTAACCAATCGAAAGAATAATATAATTCATGGTCAGTTAGTCATGAATTTTCAGATAACTGATTAGTTTTTGGTAATCTATCCGAGATAACTTCAGGTTGACAGGTTGAGATTATTACCAGAGGCTATGTAAACTAGCCTGGTGCTATATGGAGCGATTTACGATGACGTTTCTCCTAATCACTTTCATTTTATCCACCGAACAACCATCCTACCAACCAGATACGACAAAGGAATAGATCTTCACCGTTCTTTATTATTATCATCATCACTCCCTGCCATCTGCAGTCTGTTATTTGGTTGGCTACGCTACTGTACACAAGCTTTCGTTCCCTTCTCACACGATCTCCTCCACGCCACCCTCGCAACCACGTCCGACTTATCGTCCCACACTCCCCTTCTACTTGACATCCTAACTCATGACGTCCCACAACGGTCTCCTCGGTGTGTGTCTAATACACTTTCATTTCCTTCTCTGTATTTTGGGGAGAATAAGTTAGTGGTTGGCTTGCCACCTCACACAGTTCCTCGCGACCTTGAATGGCTTCAACATCATCTGTGTTGCTTGTAACTGAAATGACGCGGTGAGGTTAATAAATACACACACTTATTTGACGTAACCGTCTAACTTATCTTACTTTTCTTCTTTCAAATCGTTACCATTCATTGACTAGAAATTAGTAAACAAAGATTTACTGCATAGAATGTTTTTACTAGATTCTGAGTTAGAATCTCATTCGATACACTGACAATGAACTTCAAACCAATGAACGCTTCATTATAAATTATTTAAATTAATCCCAGCGTGTTAAGGAAATCAAAACAAGATTTTTCTGAACGTTTCGCTGTGTAAGCCACAGCTTCTTCAGCAGATTTATCTTGTTTTGATTTTCTTAACACGCTGGGATTAATTTAAATAATTTATAATGAATCAATCTGACTCGGTGCTCAAATTATTCCAATGAACGCTTGTTTATTCCATACAGCAGTTTTTACGCATCTTCTAACTAATCTCTTCAAATGCATGTTTGTGAAACAACGTTGGTATCACATCTCAATATAGGAAATCTAAGTGTTGTATTTAAATTTGTCTGGTAAACAGTCCTTAGAATGAATCCCGTCTCATTTACTCTTCACAGAATAGACAAAGCTAATGAAATGTCTGTATTGGCTTCTAAATGTATTTTCCTCATACACACTTCTCCTCAAGTTTTCCTTCTTCTTGCCTACTTCGTAGAACGTTGAAAAAGGTAAAGTAAAATCAAAATAATAATACTAATGACAAATGTGTTTTCGACGTAGCTGTAATATATGTAACCAGCCTAATAATTATGTTCTTCAATGATATGTACTTGGACTTTCATTAGATTCAAGCTTAATCGTAAGAGCAATATTGAGGTTAGGCGTCGAGTGCTAGGTAAGGAGGGGAAATCAATAGACGAGGTTGTGAAATTACATCGACTGAGATGGTTAGGACATGTGTTACGTATGCCTAGTCATTGCCTTCGTCGACAACGGACAGTGTTAGCTGATACAGGGTCAGGCTGGATAAGAGCTAGCGGCGGTCAAACGAAAACATGGCACCAGTCAACGAAATCTACAACAGTTAGTCTAAGCCACGTAGGAAGGTGTAGACTTCCTGGTTGGGGTCCTCAGGACGGTAAAATCCAATGGTTAGAGACAATTGGTGACATGGCTCAAAATCGTTATCAATGACAGCGCAGATGCATCCACTCCTTGTGACTTATGATTTCCAATGAAACTGTTTTGTTCTTCGTTATTACTATTCATTTTGTCTCATATCTCTGTTTACTGTCTCTAATATCCTTTTACCTACTTTCTTCTCTTGCTTTGTGTTCTACATGGAGTGTGGCGACTTGAACTGCCGCACATATGTGCAAAGTTCTATGTCGAAAACAGTCAGACAGACAGAATCGTAAGTCGATAGCAGTGCCATCCACTCGCTTACCACACGCAGCATTTCTGATTATTTATCATCACGTAAGAGCATTATTAGTTTACAGTTGATACTGTTGAAAATGATAGTGACATGAAAGAGGACGTGAAAACTTATGGGTGATCTTGAAGCCAGCTAAATAGGAATAAAGAGGGCAGATTAATATGGAGATGTGCCGCTGAAGCCATATGTTCCATTTGGAACCCAATGAAATAATAATAATCATAACTGGAAATACAAATTCGCAATGTTGTTAACTATCCTGATAAACATTCTTTTTAAAATATACACTAGAATTAAACTTACTTGATATAATCGATCACGATATTCAGAGACAGTTAACTGTACATTATCATCTAAAGGCGGTGTAACATGATGACTCATTATCATGATTTCGCTTGGGCAGTAAAATCTTAGGAAATAAAACATAAAGGAGAAATAGGAAAAAATATTTAACAAGAATAATTTGACTAGAAATAATTTATTTTATGGGAGCCAGTGTGGAAATCTACTTCAGCCAACATAAAGAATAAGATCCGAGTTCTGTTCAACAATAATGTCAAATCAATGCTTCTGTGTGGTTCAGAAACTTGGTGCGCACATCATCAAAAGCATTCCGAACACGCTACTGCAGACTGTCATCAGCAGCTGCCACCCCGTACTTCATATTAAAGGTCAAACAACCGACCAGAAAGGATTAGCAACAAGGAACTCTTGCAACAAAGCAACTAAAACTCTACTGCCCAACAAATTTGCAGAAAGAAATGGAGATGGACTGAGTAACTAAGGAGACCGTTCAATGATATCCAAATGAGAAAGGACTAGTTGGACATGGAACCATGAGTGACATGAAGAAAATCGCTTGACAAAGAAAAGAAAAGTTTGTGAGCAGTCGTAGAATCAGGTAAAATGAACTGTAGCACAGAGTGAAATGGAGACGTACTGCTGGGAAAATACATTCCACTCAGAACTCAAGACAATACCTCCAAAGACAATAATGATAGCAGCGTTATTCGTCCTGTTTGTGACATGTCAGTTGAATGAACTTAACCCTTCAGTGAGTGATAGTTTCCCCATTTGGACTTAAACATATCACCCACTGTTTAAAATGCCATAGCGCCATCCATTAAGACTAATGGGACCGTCTTTTTCAACGGGGGTATGGTTTGAAATCATTTATTCACGTCTATAATCTCTCCATTGGAATATATCTGGGGCCGAATTTTCAGTCTTAACATGGTGCATATGGGCTTCTTTAAAGGATGCCAATATGCTACCAGGATTAACACCTGGAAGTTAATTCTATTGGCCAGATGTATCAACAGAAAATCACAAAGGCGAATAATTAAAAAGGAGAACTTGTTTAAGTTAATTTTGTATTCCCCGTAAATTATTGATTATACTGGATTTAAGTGCTCGGACCTTGCTGATATGTCGGTGTCTAGTGAGGAAGTTACGACAATATCTGATTTTTAGCATGATATTATTTTGGTGGATATAATATATGCAATGGATTCCAGGATGGCGTCTGAAATGATAGGTGCTTGGTTCGAATCTCAGTGAAAACATCATCACTCGCTCACTGGGGATTGTGGGTACATCCAGCTGAGAAATCTCAAATAGGATGAAATGCACATAGTGGATTTTACTGTTGGTAACCATCCACCAAATAACTGAAAGACGATTGACTGAATTTTTAAGATTCAGCATTTTAAACATTAGAAAATAGTGTAGTAACTAATACTACGAGTGATAATTAAATCATGAGTAGCTAGCTAGCTAGAATTCGGGTGGTTTGCGCTGGTTGAACTCTCTAAAATGAATCTATTAAGCACATCGCTGATAGACAAGACTTGAACGTGAGAAATGGTTGTCCGGTGTTGAGATCACTTCTATCTGACTGGTTGGTGTTTCCAACTACTCATATATAGTAGTAATATATGAACATTCTGATGAAATAATTTGCATCAGCAGTTGGTAAATAAAAGCTTTCATCACGAATAAATTACATTTACACATTTTCATTGATTTAAGATTTAAAGTTCTGTTTTTGCTTTTCTTTTTAGAATTACTCATACTATTTGTTAGTTGATTTTTCCACTTGAAAGGACGCTGTGATTCTATTGGTTGGAAATTTTTTTCGAGTTTGACCATGGATTGATATCATTTAGAGAACCATTGAAAACCAGCAGGGAGTACTGGACAGCTGCTGTTTCATCCTAGTTTGGGAATTATCGGCAGTACTCACCCACTGGAGTCTGAACCCAGAACCTTCCGGTTACAAGGCAGGCTCGTATATCATTCAGCCACTAGGACCCTGTTCATGGATTCTAACTTCTACTACTTTGTGATATCAATCCGTAGTCAAACTAGAAAAAAAAACAAATCTAATCCTTACAAACCAACCCTTAAAATGTATTGTCAAATGTTTTATTGTAATCCAGATGTCAAAGGTTGTAAGATGGCTATAATTTATTGGTAAGTTACTCAGACATAGCTGATAAGTAATACGATACACTATGTGCATACACTCATTCCCTGAGGATGAACAGATTTCAGTGGGAAGTCATGATCTTTCGTTCATTACTCCGTTGGGGATAAAACTCAATAAATGCATGTTATCTACTATTCATAGGGTGAATAGTATTCAAACCATAAATAAAGCTGACGGCATATCGCTCTTTGGTTCCCAATAAAAAATATCTTCAAATCATGTTTTTTATAGTCTGTGAAGTTTTCCTTAGATAGTCAGCAATTTTCTCACAACACTGAAAAGGCAAATACAAGTTTTTGGTGTCTACCTCTGAATTGTTGGGTATGGCTCGTTGATTTAAGGGAGACTGAAGACACCTGCATTAACGTAATGATTGCTGTCAGCTTGAGAATGCCAAAAAACATAAGTGGCTTTTAGTCTATTTTGGTCACTAAATTTCATACAAATATTGATTTTAGGTCATTTGGACTACTCTACAAATTAAAGACCCTCGAAATGGTCTTCTAGAATGATTACTTTATTTTAGCGTCGAAATATAATCTCATTCCATAGGCAAGCAACATAATACAGATTTCAAATCATTTTGTTGCTCTAATAATCAATCACTTAAGCTGCATATTGCGCTTGGTAATAACCGTTTAAGTCATTGTCTGAAAACTGTTTTGTTTCCTATTAATCAGAAATAATTTTACTTTGTCATTTTAGTTCCTAAAGAGGTGCTTTCATAAAACTTTCCTTAAGTTCGACATCTACCAGTGTCTATTCTGACACCACATATCCCATTTAAGCTCACGATTTATAAATTTCTCACCTTTATGCAAATCATTTGACAGGTAAGTATGGTCAGAACCCTCAAAAGCCATTAGTTGTTACCTGTCAGAGACCTACACGTAAAACCCCAATGAAGTATGCTGGTTAATTTTATTTGTCCGGTGGTAAAATAGACGTCATTGTCACTTTATGCCTCACTTCCCGCATAAAAATTACTTTAGAATTTCCAAATATTTCCTGGAATTCAACCAGGTGGTTGAATGTTCAGAGGTCTCATTTTGTAACGCGAACATCCTAGGTTCGACTCCAAGTGAGACCTTGTTTCTTTAGTGTGAGATGATGATAGAATGTACTTTAAAACTGATGAATCCGTATGATCTAAAGCTATTTAAAAATTCATAAATTTCAAACAGAAAACTATCTTTTTTCAATAGTGTTTACAGAGATTAATAAATGTCTTCTTGACTACTTCAATGTCTTAGTTTAATCACTCTTAACACTGTTTCCAACCAAGTCTTAATGCAGTCGACATTGCACATTCAGATAGACGCTCAGCTCTACTGCGCGACACATGTTTCGATGGTCCGCTCATACCACTGATTAACTCGGCTACAGAAAAGTGAAACCACCGTCCCATTGTTTAGATATGTTCGATCCGTCTACAAAGTACTACTGGTTGGTGTCACTGGTAACCAACTACTCATATCAACCAGTAGTATATTTCAGCATAGGTTTCGTTAACTTATACCAATCAATTATTAGTAGCAATTTTAATATCACAGTCAATGATATATTGAAAATATTTATCACCTTTATTCAAATGACCGCTTACCTTCGAACATATGGATGCTTTAAGGCTTCAAGCGCCGTAATTCGTTTGTACGGGTTGAAATGTAGCATTTTATACAGAAGATCAGTTGCTGTCTTGTCAACATTGGCCAACATCTGATCTAACGAACGACGATTTCTGATTGTTTTATAAAATTTGACAGAATGAAATGAAAGTTAAAGAGGTCAAATCAATCCTCTAGCAAAATCAAAATGTACTACAGCATGTTGATTTCTCACTGAGAAGTAACTAATGTTGACTATATAGTCTCAGTGGTGTTACTGCAGACTGAATCCTGGCAGTCAATTTCTCATGTGGTTACTAGTCTAGCAGACTCCCCATTGTGATGCATGTTTTATGAATTAATGTTGGATGGCTCGAAGCAATAGGCATCAAATCCTAGACTCAGGCTTCATGCTTACTGTCATTTATCAACAAGGCGTATGCGCAGCCTTGAGGGAAGTTTTGGTCACTGGTGGATCCAGATGGTTCAGCGGTAACGTTCCAGGCTACAGAAATGAATGACACGTACTCAACACGTACATCAGCGTTTTCAAAATTACAGATGTGCCATGCTGATGAATCCCTGGGTTGGGGGTTCGTCCCGATCACCTTCAACCATCTATTAATACTGAATGTAATCTGATCTACAGAAAAAGGAGGAGGAGGTTAGGATCAGTAGCAAAAAAGCTTTGCATAGCCAGAATTTGATTAACTTGAACAGTTACACTTCTGAATAAATCTAGTGTGAGTTGTTCACTGTTTAAATCATCTGTATCTAAAAAGCGTACAATACTGGTTGCTAAAGGTGACTACTAACTACTTATAAAATTTAGTAATAGTACATATGTAAAGTGTATCGGTTAAAATTCTTAATTTAATTGTTACAGCTTGATGCCACACCGTATTTTCAGTACAAGTATGACATTTTCAGCATGGATATCGGTAGCCCAAATTTTACAGGCCAACCATAGATATCGGGTGTGCGTCGGCAGGGGATCGAACCCCGAATCATGTGCATGGTCGGCGAGAGTCCTAACCACTGTGCCACTTTATGATAATTATAACTTATATTTACGAATCAATGTTATAATGAATATTTCAATCTAAAATCAGTCTAGAGGTGTTATTTCCGTCGGAGTTCCCTTATTCACTACTCGAAATCTCCTTGTTCTCACCTCTTTACAAGATGTCTGCAAGAAAGTCAACCAACTCACTCAACTCTTCAGCACGCATCATTTGACTTAATCGTCAAATAAAAAACTTCGCCAAAAGGCGCAGATCATCATCTACCTGGCAATTCTCAAATAGAACAAAACATGAGTCCTAGATTCTGTTTCTGATCATCAGAGAAAAGTTGTAACATAAAGACGTCTGAACTACCAGTGAATGCTGTTCAAATATCAATACAACCATCACAAGCATCAAAGCTAAACAAAGAGCCTTTGTACTCATTAGAAAACTGTAATAAAGATATTGATACCAGAGATGGACCGATAACAAACACATGAACACACTTCTTGATGCAAACTTAAAGTTCACTCTATCCATTAGTACTTCATTTGAAACTGGCCACTGATTCCAGCAGGAAAATAGTGTTCTCTTTTCATACTGTTTTACTGACATTAAAAGAACTGAACATAAATCCATGACGCCATATACTACTGGTCGACTGATATTAGTAGTTGGATACCATTTACACGAAGAACCAGTGGTGCTTTCTAGTCAGTCGGATAGAAGTGATCTAAACACCAGAAGGCCGTTTCGCATATATGGAGCCAAGCTCATCAGTGATGCACTCCGCTCGACTCACATCAGAGAATTGAATCAGGTGATGTGAGTGGCATCGAACTAATCATATCAATCAATAAATCAGCAGAATATAGCATCATGCATTTATGCTTATATTTATTTTTGATTACAGCTTGATGCCACACCGTATTTTCAGTACAAGTATGGAATTTTCAGCATGTGATATCGGTAGCCCAAATTTTGCAGGCCGACCACAGATATCGGGTGTGCGTCGGCACCATGTGCATGGTCGGCGAGAGTCCTAACCACTGTGCCACCGACGCACATTGATGGTATAATGCAAACCGTATGATGTCATCTGAAGTTTTAGTTTCCAAAGGTAACTGTGGTGAAATAACTGCCGCAAATTGTGTAAGTTGGAAGTCGCGAATACTATTTAAGAGAACTAAACATTCATGAGCATAATTGCCTTATCTTTTTCAGGACCAATCAGCACAATCTCCTTACTGTTCATCAATTCTTTAAGCTCTCTGTAGTGTTTCTTGGTTAGTATAAAACTGGACCTTCGGTTTACCGTTTTATAAACTTGCAACATCTATCGAAAACTGCTAACTTAAGCGGGTATAGCTGGTCTTCAGATGTTGATACTAGATCATAAGTTTGATCTATCAGATTTTCCAACTGAACCTAGGACTGAAGCTTCTGAATATTTGATGATTTTGTGCCGAACTTCAGGTCTAAAGATGCTGCCTTTAGTTGAATTCTTGATAGCTCAATGTTTGAAAGACTGAATACATATTTTCTTTGGGTTGCTTGGGAATCAACGTTCACTATAACTAGTCACCTTCAGGCTCTTAAGTAGATCTGACTTGATCTTATCATATTCCTTCTCTGTGTGTCGGTGGCACAGAGGTAGGATGCTCGCCAACCACGCATGTGGTCCGGGATTCGATCCTCGACCGACGCACTATTTTAACTTGCTAAGCCAGTAATAAGACTGGTAAAGAGGGAAGTTAGGACATGAGGCTAGCAACCCCATCCCGTAAAAATAAATACCACTGCTACCGAAACTTCAGGTCTCTAGATTCAAGCTCTATGTTCCACTGGGAACGTAAAAGGAATAAAAAACGTTTTGGACATACTCTTAAAGGTATTGAAGTAGTTCTTGATCTAACTGACGGACTGCATATATCCGCAGGTAGACAGTTCATTCTCGTTCGAGAACACGTGGTTTCATTGAATCAATGTAGTTTAGAGTGTATCGCTTGAATGCTCTGTTATTCGGTTGGATGTGGTTGCGTCTGACTGATTTCCAGTGCATTTTTGTATATTGATGTCCATCTAAACATTTTCTCAAAAGAAATACATCTTCCTTACTGCAAGCTTGACAGGATGACACAGTAAATGATAACTGATAACTGATCAGCTCTTTCATCATGATCAGATTCTTATAAAGTTTAAGTAACTTTAAAATCACCAAAAATTCATCTAAAAACGAAGAGTTAATCTTTTCAACGACCCGCAAGCTTCAGTCTCAGGCTTAGTTCGAAAACCTGGTTAATCAGATTTATGACCTAGTACCTACAACAATTCAAATCAGCAGTCTTTGATAGCTGTCACATTTTTACGAACAAGAAACCAAATGTCCATATTATATTGACTAAGAAATACTAAGAAGAACTTTAAAAGTTGATGAACAATGAACAGATTACGCTGGTACATCCTGATAAAGGTGGGACAATTGTAATCATTAGCCTCCAGGACTAGATCAATAAAATGCTGACCATTCTATCTGATGAATCCAAATTTACAAAATTCATCCTTTTTTGAAAACAATAAATAATAAAGAAACACACACTTAATGAATGAATTACCTAATTCGTGCTTTCTGTAAAATTGATGCACTATAGGGACTTTTGACGCTGGCTAAATCTAGAGAAGAAGAAGAAGAAACAGAGATAAAGAAGGACTCTTCATTTTGTATAAAGAATAAATTCTTATCATATTACTTTTTTAAAGTGCTTAAATGAAATCATATTTTTTTAAATAATACACTGATGATTTTAAGTATATGGTGAAGTCAAGCTACCAGTCGCAAGGTATTTTCGCGCAAAGTATGGAGAAAACACCACTAAATGTATATATACGTTCCAGTTGTGTAAAACAGCAACAACAACAACAAAAAGTGACCTCTGTTATGATTACAGCATTTCTATAAACACGTAATACAAAATCAGATAAGACCAACCACCTGAGAGAATTCAGATATTAATTGACCGCCTCTCTTTTACCCATTCAACGTAAGCTTGGGAAGTTCATTTGGCTATAACATGTACTGACTTATAGCAGCGATCACCAATAAGTCTACTGTATAATCTTGAATACAATCCGGAATGAACCTTTCACATTATTCCCTATTAACACCATTCATTTTATTGCGTTCATAATTTTCTCTTCATCTGATTCCCTAATTTTGTCCAGACTTCTGTTTGCCTCGAATGCTTAACTTGGGAACTTTTTTTATTGAACACTAGTCAGTAACTAATGTAATGTGTGTAGTCCTGTCTTTCGTGCAGATTGAATTCTATCAGTCAAGTTTGCAATATGGCCACCATGCTCAGTGGCCCATCATCACGGTGCATTGTGAATTGTTTGTATTAGATGGTTGGAGGCAATCAGCAGGATGCCTTGCTTGACCTGTGTTTCATGCTAGTTGGCACTAGTCAGCAGGGCGTACCTGCGACACTGAAGGAGCTCAGGTCACTTCTGAGATTCTAACCCGCGTTACTCACTGCTGCAAAATATCCAATAAATTTCTACACGAGATCAATCGCGAAACCATATAGCTCAGTAGCAACATCTCTGACTGTAGGCAGCACTGGATGACACGGATTCGAATATCAGAAGGGACATGAGTTCCTTCAAGGATGCAGATACGCCTTGCTGACTGGTGAATGCCAACTAGCACGAAGCCTAGGCCAGGCAAGGCTTCCTGACGATTGCCTCCAACGATCTAATAACTTGGGAACTTCATTACAATACTTAGGGGAGACATGAGACGGTCATAAAGTTTATTAGCACATTTACCAGTGCAGCGAAAATATTCAACCAGACATTTGACAGATAGAAGAAAATTTGAGCAAAGAATATTCTTTTCAATAATTTCCTCTTCCAGCCCTACAACTATATATATATATATATATATATACAGAATATTCTGAAATAATCGTCATTAACAATATTGGTGTTTTTTAAATACTACCGATTTGTTACGAGCGATAAAATCACAGTTCAAGAAAGATGCATAAGTTATAATAAACGTAAAAATTTAATACTAAATAGATTATTGGATAAAATAAACGAAACTTATACATAATTAGGGATAGTTAGAACCTTGATGGCCAAGATAAGGAAAGAGTCTGAATCAATTTCTTTTGGACACATAGATTAGGCTTCTTAATGGAGATTCCAACAGCCTCACGAATATGTAATAGCCGAACTCTTGAGGTAAAATTAAACTTAGCTGGTACACGGTAAATGACTCTGAATGCCTTGTTTATATCAATTTTGTGTTCTGTATCGGCGAGATGAGACAGTATATAACTATGAATGGATTTTATTCCTCCCTTAATCAGTTTGACTGCTTCTGTGGAGAAAGTTACATAGGCCGTACAATTAGGCGTGTTTGTCGTCGAATTTCCGAGCACCATCCAGCGTGGTTAACTAAATTTATTATTATGCATCTTTATCGAACTGTGATTTCATTACTCTTAACAAATCGGTAGTATTTAAAAAACACCAATATTATTAATGGTGATTATTCTAGAATATCTTGTGTATATCAAATATATGTACATATTTAATTGTGGAACCAGAAGAGGAAATTATTGAAAAGAATATTCTTTGATCAAAGTTTCTTTGGTTTTCTAACTTTACCAGTGTTAAAGCAGCTTTCCCATAATTGACTGCTCAGGGTTACTCAGAAAGTACTCTGTGGTGGTCGCTATACTTTAATGTCTCCAAGTATATTACAGATGGGAATGAATAGTAAAAGCAATAAGAATAATAGTGTTTTCAAAGTTTCTGGGTTTATAGAGATCTGCAAAACTGTGGATTAAAGATTATTCAAAGCTAACAGCATTTCGGGAATCATTACTTGTCCTCTGAGCCAAAAATACGGCTTCAGTCTTATTTTCGAAATTTCATTAGCGGTGGTGTTGTTTATTTTTACTGGGCGGAGCTGTTAATATCACATCCAATCTCCCCACTTTTTCAGGATAACTACCAGCCACTAAACCAGGAGAAGTTAAGGAGTGCTTCGACGGAAAATCAAACCTAGGCCTTCTATGTGATTCACAAGCATTCTGCCGTTGAACAATCGACGCATGATTATTTTATGATAAATTGAGACTTCATTGAGGTGTTCACTCTTGACCTTATTTAGCATCTAGCCTAGAAGCTTTCAGACTTTTAGATGACTGATTTGGCATTCAGCATACTGGCTAAATAACACTGTCGTCATCCGTTATCACTTGTCAGCAGTCTTATTATATATGACTTGGCTTGTCATATTAGTTATCGCAACTTATCAGACTGTTGGAAAGAGTTGAAAGGCAGGACAAAATGCTTTTATACAGAGCTGCTTGTTTTATTTCCAGAATTTCTTTAAATCACGACAATTCATCATAAAAAAATCAACTGGAAATCAATTCAATTTTACACGATCCACCTATCGGACACACAGTGCTTTTGATAACTACTTCCACCTGGCCAGTCTCTACCTATCATAAGAGACTGAAAGTGCCCGGACAATAATTCTACTCCAGCTACTCGCTTTTTCACAAACAGAACATTTATAATCTTCAAGTATTGGTGTGTATAGATTTGATCGATTCCAAGATTAATCACGAAGCGACTTCAGTTAGAGAACCATTGAAAACCATTAGAAAACACTGGACAAGTGATCCGTTCTTGTCTGAGACTCTTTAGAAGTATGCACCACTGACTCCACCAATTCGTGATCAATCTTGGCACTTATTATCACTTTTATGACTGTGAGTGGATTTCCACTGTTGAAATTTGATGTGTCATCTGTGTTTCTAGTAGTTTGATAAAAGTAACTCCTAGATTATGAGTGTATTGTTGCCAAGATAGAAGGTTTAGTCAATTACACAATCACTATTAGATATTCTTTCTTTGTGTAAGTCACGCTTCTGAAACTGCTAACTGCCTGAAACACATTAGGTAGCCATAAACATAGATAGATATGGCCACTTTAAAGTGCACTAGAACTCCTAAACTTACATTAGTCTTGTCCAGTAGACAAAATATAAAATGATAATACAGCTGTTAGATAAAACACTTATTTAACCTGATCAATAAACACTTTGGACTACTCATATCAGTGAGCAATATATAGTTCAGGGAGTTTAAAGTATAGAATTCACAGGAAAAAACTTACTAACAAGGCAATATATTCCCTTTACCATTTCTATGAGTTCCGACTGGAACATAGGCTGTCAATCTTGAGACCTGGGAGTCTCAGTAGCGATGATGTTGTCTTTATGGCGTGGGGCTACTTTCTTCTCACCAAATCTTTTTTCTTGATCAAGCTTACGGCTGAGTGAGGTTACAGAGTGCATCGATCGGAAATCGGACCCTAAACCACACGTGCGGTTGGCAAGCATTTTACCACTAAACCACCGGGGCATCTAATATATATATATATATTTATAGTACGACTACTTACCTTCTGTACTGGGCTTCGGTAGACCAGCCATAATACGCTCAATTTGATCTAGCGTAGATGTACCAGGAAATAATGGTGTTCCAATCAACATTTCACCCAGGATACACCCTAAACTCCATATATCTACACCTTTTGTATAATCATGACAGGCAAGAAGTATTTCCGGCGCACGATACCAACGTGTCGCTACATATTCAGTCAAAGCAGGTAACAGAGTTTTACAATTCACTTTACTGCCAGTTTCAGATTTATTTCTTCCTTTTAACGAACGCGCCAAGCCAAAATCACATAGTTTTACTGAACAATATGAGTCGAGCAGTACATTCGATGGCTAAGGAGAATATTGAAAGCAGAAAGTGAAATTAAATTAACCAATCAGTTAAAGCATAATTTCAAGGACATTGGCAATGGCAGGGTTATTTTGCTGTCTTAACCAATCAGGGGGAAATATATTTTCTGTATGTTTAGCACATGATAAGTTAAGGACGCTAGAGGTCTTTCCTCTGTCACTGCCTTTGAGAATATAACGTATGAAAATCAAATACAAGAATGTTATATTTATAACTTAGCTAATATAAGAAACAGCAAACAAAAGTAAAATTTCGCGTGTGCGCTTGTGTGCATGTGTATGAGTGTGCAAGATATTGATTTTAAAAATCCCAAATCTTTTCATACAGATTTCATTACGAGCCAGTGCGCATTGCTGAAGTCTCAGAATTAGAACGAAACAGCTGTCCATCGCCTCTCACCAGGAATGTAACCCGGGACCTTCGGTTTCCGAGACCAACTTCGTAAATGATGCTGGTTCATGACAAAATTTACACTCAAATTAATCCAAATCACGACAAAGTAACTCATAATGTAAATATCAATCTCCAGCTCATTAAAGGCTACTGGATGGTTGTCTTGAAGCTGTACTGAGAAGTCGAGACCAATGGAATCACCATGTCAAAGTGAAGTGAGTGCTCATCGAAGACATCAGTTGAAGGTAGCGTTATATTACAAATCGAAAAAGCTAGAGTCCAAGTGTCAATAAATCTCGGCCTAAAGAGCTTGGTTTCGTAACCTGAACGTCCTGGGTTAGACCTCTGGTCGGCTCGTGGGTGTGTACTATGAAAGAATTCCAAAACTAGGACAAAATATCTATCTAGTCTTCCATCGTTTTCAATGAACTCTGAATGATGTTGGTTCCTGATGAAATCTGCATTGGAAGTGATCTAAATCCTTACAAAATACCATAATCTAAATTCTATTTTTGGTTTATAATTTTATCGATTTAAGGCTAATGTTATTGTGATCGAATATCTGTTGGATGTTGTGTTTTGATTGCTGAATACTCCCTAAAATCGTCACGGGTAATGATAGAATACTGTCCACCTGTAAGGACATTAGCTTCTCAACTGGCTATCCTGCTATTAGCCTTAATTATACTAAGATAAAAGGACAGGAGCAGGTCGTTAATGGATGGCAAAACTACACTAAATAGACTTGAATTGACATCAACCACAAGACGTTTGATATTTCTTGAAGAAGAAGAAGAAGAAGATGGACTAAGGAAGAAAGGAGGTGGTTACACTCTATATGCGGGCTTAATAGATTAGGACAGGGAGCTCACCCAAACATTAACGGATTTGAATAGCACGACTGACTAATCGTAAGGAACGACCACAATCATAATCCACAGATACAATTTGAACGCAGTAAAGAAGAAAACAGAGAAGACTTGGCTTTTGGAAGGAAGCCTTTATCGTGTTCGTAACAGACAAGCTTGTCAGTAAATGAATCAGGGCATAAATACTCAGTTAAGTCACTAATAAATTTTCAAGACATAGCCTAGGCAGGCCATGACACAAAAAGTAACAGTGAAATGACAAATTTGAATTTCACATGAAAAGGAATTCAGTGACACAGATGGAAATATGGACTCGTAGTAGTTTAACTTTTTCCTTAATAGTTACTCATTATGAAATGATATTAAATAAAGGAGTGAAATACATCAACTCAAGTGACAGCAGATTTTAAAAACCTATTTCTTTCCGTTCAATAACTAGGAAAATGTTACCCACAATGAAAATTTTCATCATCCTCGTTTTGTATTATTGTCATTCTTTTTCCTTTTCATTTGGAGCGCAGTATTTCAAGCTTTATATTTTCAGGATCATTGAAGTTGCCTCTTTTAGGTGGTAGGGTTTCTGATCTCACGCGTCACCTTCTATCTTTAGCAGGCTTAAAAGTGCAATGGCCGGAAATCGAAACCCGGATCACGTGAGTGGTTCGAAGGCATCCTACCCCACTGAATCATTGATACAGCTTTTCTTATTTTAAATTTGTGTGTATGTTAATTCACATATTACACTTCAGATTACTGACTTCTTTGTTCGTCTGCACAACATTTAGTTATCTGGGCGTGAGAAATTATTACGAAAAAGACATTCTCTACAGATATATATATATATATCATAGGTGTTGCACTACTACCTAAGGCAAATTAGACCTTCAGTGTAACTATTCTCTAGTTTAAACTGTCTATAAGGCATAAATAAACATTTGGTGAGTTCACTGATGATACTGTTTATGAAATGATAACATGTCAAAACGAACTGAGAACAGAGATTCGCGAAATATCTATCTTGTGCAAGTTTTAGGCCCAAGATTCCATTCACAAGAGATTCTTGTCCATTTTATCAGTAAGTGGGGTAGAATTCAATAATCTATGAAATTTTTAATGAATGATGTGAACCTAGCTACCAATAGATTGTAGGATTAAATTCAATTATTCTCCCTTTAATGTTTTGTCAAATGTTTTTTTTATTACAGCTTGATTCCACACCGTATTTTTTGGTAGAAGTATGGAATTTTCAGCATGCGATATCGGTAGCCCAAATTTTGCAGGCCTACCATAGATATCAGGTGTGCGTCAGCAGGGGATCGAACCTCGGACCATGTGCATAGTGGTCGGCGAGAGTCCTAACCACTGTGCCACTGTTAATGACTTGATCTCGAGACCTGATGACCAGTATCTGATTCCGTCTCGTAGATATGTATGTATGGACTAAGAGAAGCGTATGTTCAAATGTATCTAGTGTTGAATGATATATTTGTAACGTAGATCACAAAGATAACTAAGACAATGTTAATTTATCACTATCAAGTAGCTTCATGAGGTCTACTTTAACCAAAACGATGAATCAACCCACTGCTTCACCCTGTTTTGTACACCACAGTTTCATTTGGAAGTTGAAATTAATCGCAGCACAATGGATGTAGTCTGTCTGGTATTATCAGTGACAATCAAGATGGCAAGCATAAATGCATGATGCTATAAACTGCTGACTGATTTATATGAGTCACTGGTAGTACTCAAATTAACCAGTAGGGCATCCAAATGAAACTGTGCTGGAATCTCGCATTGGACTGCAAAAATCCCAAATCATCGACTAATTATCAAATTGCCGATTTAATTCCAAGTGTGATCAACTTAGCCAATCAGCCGACCAGAATTCAGGTGACTTGGACTGATCTGACTCTCTGAGATAAGTCAAACTGAATACACTGCTGATGAGTTCGATGCCAAACAGGTGAAATGGCCGTCCGGTGTGTAGGTCACTTCAATCTGGCTATCAGGCACTACCGGTTAATGTGAATGGTATTCAACTACTCATATCGACCAATCAATCGGTAGTACATAAAATCACATTAGTCCATTTTAATTGTCCTAAAATGTTACATAGGCAAAGAATTATCTTCTGCAGATAAATAATCGGTAGTGTTGACTTGCCTACTTGTAAGTAGTAAGTAAGATAATTCAAATGCAAAATGACAACAAAAGTAAACACTCCTACCTTTTGATCACGATGAATCACTTCACCAGAATGTAAGTAGGCTGTTGCTTTCAACAATTGATACATGATATATTGTTTATGTACATCATTGAGGATATTGCCTTTTTTAATTACATTGTGTAAATCTGTTTCTATAGTGATATAAAGGTTGAAACAAAACTTTAAAAACTAAACAAATCCACTTACCCATAAATTCAAACACCAAATATATATCCTTATCGCTGCTAGCACGTATAACATTATAAAGACGTACAATATTTGGATGATTACCAAAATTTTGTAAAAATGCAATCTCTCTGAATGTTCTCTTTATAAAAAAGGATAAATAAACGATAGCTATACAAAGCTAATTTACTTGTGCATCAGTTTGATTTCGAAATGCATCGAAAATTTTCTTCAGTGCAATAATTTCTTTAGTTTTTTTATTCAGCGCCTTCCAAACAATTCCATAAGCCTGAAATAGGATGGAAACAATTAAGATAGAGCGAGATATGGAGATAACAATAAACTAGTCGTTACAAGTGTGATGAACAGAACTAGACAGACAATTGGTGTAGTGGAATGATGCAAGTGCTTTTAAATTTATTTCCAAAGTATTCGTTCGCAGGGATTTGACTGATTTCAAGATTGGTCATGGACTGAGGTTAATTAGAGAACTATTGAGAACCAGTAGGGAGTGCTGGATAGCTGTTTCGTCCTTGTTTGTGGCTCTTCATCAGTACGCAGTCATCATAGCCTCCTCTGAACCGACATGTCCTACTTTTATGGAGCTGTCGACACCTCGTACGAAAGCTGCGATGATGTATGGGATGTAGATGCACCCACCCGACGAGTCCATAGTGGGACGAACCACTCATCCTAGATCCCACTGTTAACCGTTACTCATCAAAAATTAACAGTAGTCACTCAAATCTTGTTGATAAGTTAAAACAAAGTCGCTGAATAACGTAAAGTAACGAGTATCCAAGACAGATGAATTACAGATCCCTTACTCACTTGATAAAAGTACATAAGCACTGGCTGCATATCAAACTTGCTGCATAAATTCGAATCACTATTTGAGATAGAAAATTGTAAGGGCAATTCAATAGCTAAATCCATATTAAAGATAAGTTGCAGGTAAACTAGACTTGCAGACCTATCTTGGTACACATAATTCTGTCACTGAAAATTAAGGTGACATTAACAAATTCCGCTCATCTCTCTTACTCTATTCGGCCTTAATGTTGCTCTATTTGTTCTCCTTTCAACTAAGAGTACTAGCCATCGAAATAGGTCATATCTGTGTGTTCAAATGAAATTCTGATAATCTCTCCCGTTTCTAAAAAGCTAAATATTTAAAAACAATGTTCACTTACAATGATCATGTAATAGCCAAAAATAATGTGAGCAAAACTGCCGATAAAACTAGGTGTAAAATGAAACTGGAGTAATGAAAATTCTAACAAGTTGGCACAAACAGCAGTGAGGGCATGACTTCGAGCGAACATAAAGAAAGAAAGACGATAAAAATACCTAACGAACAACAAAAAGTCCCAATCACCTCCTACGGAAGAAATTTGGATTCTTCCACTTACCTACGCGGGTGGCGCAGGTAAGGATGTCACAGGCAGTCAGCATCGGAAAACTGAAACAAGCCTCAATCAGTTGGAAGTCAGTGTGAATATCTACTGGATTCAACATAAGGAATAAGAGCCGGATTTTTCACATTAATGTCAAGTCAGCTCTTCTATATGGATCAGGCACTTAGCGCATCACGTAAAGCATTTCAATCGGGCTACAGGCTTTCATCAACACCAGCTCTCTTCCACTCGATAATGAAGATTAGATGGCCAGCATGAAAGGATAAACAACAAAGAACTGACGAAGAAGATATTTCCTAACAAGCATGCAGAAGTTAGTATATATACATATATATAAATGGGACACACGCTAATGAGACTTCTGATTGATATCACGCGCCAAGTCCTCGAGTACAAACTGAATGACAGGTGGCAGTTTAGGTGTGGACCCGAGAGTAGGAAGGAGGAGATCGTGTGGAGAAGGAATGAAAGCTTATTAGCAATTGCGGAGCCTGCTAAAAAAAGACTGCAGAGAGCAGAGTGAAGTGGAGGTCTGTTGCTGAAACCTTATGTTCCACAGAGAAACCAAGAGATTAATAACAATAGTAAAAATTCTGTCATTTTGAAACGTTAAGCATGCGAAAGAATATCAGTTAAATTATTTCTCTACTGACCATCAACCAACTGAAACAAATGATAGCAGATTTTCACTATTTATTCTTTAAGCATTGCTTTGTAGGGATTCGATTGATTTCAGACATGATAAGGAATTGACTTCAGTTAGAGTACTATTGAAAACCAAGGCAAACTAGACAGCTGTTTCCTTCTAGCTTCGGACTTCTCGGCAAGAAGCACCTATCTAACTCAAAACCTACAGGTTATGAGGCAAACACATTGAACATTTAGCCAATGCTACAGAATCCAACAGCCAATGAATTCTAACTTCTGTCAATTCGTAATCTGAAGGTCCTGGGTTAGATCTCTAGAGGTGAGGTCATGCGTGCGCACTACTGATGAAGAGTCCAAAAACAGGACAAAACATAAACCCAGAACTCCATCCTGCTTTCTACATGCCTGTTCAGAATTTTTTGCTAAATATAAAACCAATATTTTATCACTAATATTAATTTTAATCAGTCGAGTTTTCAGTCTAAACTGATTGATATGTGATGTTGGATAATGTGCTACATGTTTTCTGTGTCTCAGCCTCACTTTCTAATGCAATCAAGGAAATCAGCAGAGAATTACACAGTAAATCCTTGATCTGTGTATTAAACCTAGAGATTGTTGTTGGGGTGATAAAAATTAATGTTGAAATACAATCATGATAATCCTTTATGAAACTACCGCTTTATTTAAAGATTTTCAACTACGTATTTGGAAGAAAAATTAAGAAATTTAGCGGAGAAGCATATTCCTTTCCACCTAATACCTCATCAATAGCTCTACACTGATATATATTCTTCTACATCCAAATTATGCCAATCAATTAGTAATGGGTTTATCAATAAGATATATCAGATACAGGACAACAAATCGAAACTAACAAAGCTTTCAAAAGTAACTATTATATTTCACCTATTGTTTCGCACACTCTACAAGTATGATACCTACGTACAACAGGGACAATCTGAATTCATCTGAACAAGCCAAATCTACGTGTGCTCAAAAGAAATTCATGTCACGCCCATTTCTTTGCCATATCCGTTCACATAAATGTATTTGGAGTCTTATAAGTAGCTTTTCCTCTATCTTTGTAACTATTATTTGACACTGCTATTTTATTATGATTCAGTTAAATTATTTATGCACAATTCATTCATCTATTCTTCTTGGTCATCACTGTTTTACAAATCACCGATTATGTAGTAACTAATCGCCAACCTCTACAGATTAACTGGTCTTGAGTTCCGTAATTATTTTCACTCCTCCTTACACCTTAAAACTGATAATTCTTATTGACTAACATATCTCCACAAGGTTGGTATAATTTCTATGTAAAAATGTGCGTATATCAGTGGGGAGTTGTTGATCAAGTGCTAATCGAAAAGGAAGGTATATTTCTTCATTTAATTTGTTGCTGGTATAAATTCATCCTAAATAAACTAATACTATTGATCACTTAGATTCCGAGTGGAACATAATAATTCAGTAGCACATCTCCATTTCACCCCGTTCTCATCAGTCCTCTTTAGGTGTCACCACAATCGCCAATAATTTCTCGTCTCCTCCTCACACAATCTCCTCCATGTCACTCTCAGACTCAGGTAGAACACACCGTCTCCCACTAAGATCCAACTAGAGGGTCAGGCTCGTGATGTCACTCAACGATCTTCTCAGAGAATGTTCAGTCCACTTCCATTTTCTTCAGCATATTTGCTCAGTTATAGGTTCTTGATTGCTTCATCAATAAAGTTCCCTGCTGCTTATCCTTTTTGACCAACTATCTAATCAAGCAGAGTCAGCGTGTTAGGAATGCTTTTCAGTAACGCCCACCAAGTCTCTGAACCATACAGAAGCACTGACTGAATTGACATTAGTGTTTAAAACACGAATCTTGTTCTTTATACTGAGTGAAGTAGATTTCCACACCTATTATTGATTAGTGAAGGTTTGTTTTGCTTTTCCTTTCCGATCCTGGCTGACTCTGACATCCTCGTCTGTACCATCTGTAGGTGAAACGACACTACCGCGCCTGGTTTACTAGTTTACTAGCCGGTCCTATACCAAGAAAAAGAAGCAAGGTTGGGGCGTGGAGTTAGCGATCCCACCCCTAAAAATCAACCCGGTAACTTTAGAAACTTTAATTCACAGAAAAAATCCCAACTGAATAGTCGATATTTAAGTATTCAATGGAAATACTGAACTTGAAATGTGACAATTTTAATTTCAAATCAGTTGAACAGGAGTTTTACGAAACACAATCCCTTGTTCAAAACTCCCATAGCTCATAATATCAAATAGTGATACCAGATGAAAATTCACGGTTTCAGAAAAAATCGTGATTATTAAATTTCCCTGAAAAAATTTCCAGTCAAATAATTTGACAGAAGTAATAAAAGATTACATAAAATTTAATACAAGAATAGCAGTCATGTCTCGTATAAAAATAAAAATTAAATTTAACAAATAATAACTAATATTATTTGCACAAGATGTAGCTCTCGTGACCCATGTAGCCTAGTGGATAACGTTTTGGCGCTTGAAACGAACAGAAGTGGGTTCGAATCTCAGTGGGAACACCATCACTCACTGGGGATTGCAGGTACATCCAACTGACCAGTCCCAAATAGGACGAAATATGCCTCCTGGATCCTACTGCTAACTACCATCCACCAAATCACACCATATTAATCCTCAAACATTGTCGAAGCCTCCTTACTGGGAACCAATATGCCAACAGAGACCAAACATTTTAGTCCAATATAGTCAGTCAACGGGAAACAAAATTAACTTCGACAAAAAGAATTATTTTTAATGAAAATGCAAAATGAGATCAAGTAATCATCATTTCAGTTTTTCACTCCTTTTACCTTCTGATTGAAAACACAGAGCTTCAAGCTGGCAGTTTTAAAAGTGTTCTATCAGCTTTTTTACGCAGCTAGAATATCTGTTGTGACGTTTGCTGTACTGTTCCCGAAAACACCTCGCGATAGCCTTTATCCTTAATCCTACTTGTCAAAATAAGTATCTGAAAGTGGGTACGCAATTTTCGATACACTGAAACATACAACCACAAGTTAAAAACGCATGGGGCTGAAGAGTACCGGTTCCGACGAAACAAACATGCTAAATCTCATGATAGGCACAAATGACTTTAACACAAGACTGAATGCAACACCTACGTACTCACTTAGGCATCCCAAATATTAACACAGACGACTGAAATTAG